TGGCTGAGGTATGTGTGCGTGTTCACAGTATTCCTTTGCAATCGGGTGCAAGAAAAAGAGGGGGGCAGTAATATTAGTATACTTTTGTGTGTTGCACAACCGTGTGTCATTATTGTGTGGGCACAGTAATTAGCGAGTTGCAGTAGCCGCAACCATATGTGGGCAGTGCTTGTATGATGTTGCATGCCATTATAGTGTGACTTATGTAACGCTGGGGTTACTTTGTTTCTTTAAGTTGTGTTGAGGACTTAAGGATTCAGTGAGTTAAGTAAGGGGTAATTAACTGGATAAGGGGTGCACACTTAGTATTGTGGAGTGAGTGAGGGCTGTAATGAAAGAACAGTGTTGAGCGAGAATGAGATACGTCTCGGGAGCAATTAATTGTCCATGTGACAACTAATTGACCACTCTAGCTAATTATGTAATTAGCCTTCTCATCATGAATTCACGTAGTGGGAGAGGATCTGTCAGTACTTGTGTTAACGTAATATGCTCGAGACTAATTACCTTTCAGGGGTATAGCAATTAGTGGCTCAGGTTAATCAGTGGAGTAATTAACATTGGAGAGCTCCGGTGACTCGGTAAAGCGAGGTCATGGAGCTAGCATAAATCGTTGTATTAATTATATCCTGTCTGAGGACAGTGGATTATTGGCACATCTTGTTAATTAGGGTAATTAACTCCTTTCCCGTGAATTCACAGTGTTTGATGAGACCTGCTTAGGCAGTGCGGAGTGAGATGTATTTATGGATGATTAATTATCGGTCCTGGTGACAGTTAATTAATGGCTCAGAAGTAATTAGGGACTTAATTAGGGTAATTAACACTCACTAGTAATTTTTTGACACAGACTGTGGAGAAGCTACCAAGTTAGGGTAGGCTTAGTTAACGTAACTCAATGGGGATGTAATTAGTGGTCCATTTGACCTTAATTGAGAATTACTCACTGAATACTTGCAAGGAGTCAAGTGTGGTGCAATATGTTGAGTTATTGTTAACAAGAGAGAGACAAGTGTTAAAGATTAACGTAGAGTATCATCCTGTTGTTGTCTAGTGTGAGACAATTGTTTGTGATTACCGTAGTACTTTGTTGCTGACTGCTGCGATCAGTCAATTAACGTAATTAATCACTTAAGGCAATTTCTTTTGGTTGTCGTCTGGTGACGAGAGTAGAGTCATCTAGGGATCTGTGGAGCTGTGTCCCAGAATCCCGCCTTGCCTGTCTTTGTTACTGGGGAGTTGCAAAGAGTATCCACACTGGGTTGTGATAGGGGGGAGTCACTGTTGGACTCCCGCCTAGTTACGTGGGTCTCTCCTGGGGGGCGGGAGGACCCCTAAGTTTGTGATTATAGTAGCTGTCAGGGAAACCGAGACACTATTGATTGCCTGCTTGTGTCTTTGTCTTCAGTGGATATCCTTCATTTGTTCAGTTAGTTCATGTTGTCAGCCCGAAGTGTCAGCAAGATGGAGCCTGCTGTCACTTCTCGAGGGGCTGTTGAATAGCTGTGTTGCAAATGCCACTTGATGTACAATAACGTAACCATTCGCTGTGGTGTAACTTAGTCTGTGATATTTTTCTTTGTTTTGCAATATTGCGTCATCAGTGGGCACACCTGTGTTCAGGTTAGTTCAGTATGCAGCCTCACAGCAAGGGTTGCTATTTAGCTGTTTGTTATCGTGCCACTGGATTGACATTAACGTAACGTAAACTCGGTAATGTAGTAGTTTAGTCTCTTGTTATTAATAAATTGTTATGTTGTAGAAAACGGTTTTTGATGTCAACCCTTCAACCATATTATTCCACCATATTTCTGCATATTATTAAATGTTGATGTGATCTTGATAAGGCGGCTGTTCTTGGGAATTCGAATTCCAATTCATAGCGCCACATCAAATATAAATATTTGATTGTGAGAACCCGTCGGTTACCCTTTATTAGTTTTAACGTCCTGTTTAACTAGGAGGAGCCAGCGGCCTATTGTGGACAGGTTTTCACCCTTGGTGGTGGAGGCCTGGCGGTTTGCTCCCGCTTTTCTTTTTTCTACTGGACTCATGCTTAACTGCTGTGAGCAGCCTTTAAACTTGTAGTCCACCTCCTAAGGGAGGTAGGCGTAGAAAAATATCTTACAATGGGAGTCGTCGCTAATGAAGGAAGCAGCAACATAGGAGCTTCCAAGAGTACCTACTTAATTCGAGGACCCATGTGTAGATGGACCCCCCCCCCTAAGAATGATTTTCAAGGCGTAATGGAGAGAGTTATATGGACATCATTATTATTTGAGGGAGTGCATGAATTCATATGTTATGAATGATGCAGTGCAAGGTGAGAACGTTCATTTTATCTTGTTCGAGTTAAATTATATACACGTTGCCTAGCCCAAACAGCTAGGGAAAGGGGGGGGAGGTTGTTGGCGAAGATTAAGTAGAATCCTAGTGTACTTTATTAGTTGGCGCACTGGTATTTTATAAGCGTGATGCTAGTTTGTTGGACCTGATGGTAATGTGCTGTTATTTCTTTCTTTGTATTTTTGTAATAAATATTTGTAGAGAATTTGTTTTTGCATTTGTCCTGGTGACAATTTCTAGAACGAGAGAAACAGGTGCAGGTGATTCAACAGCAGACATAATATCATAAAGGGGAACTGGAAGGAGGTCATCCCAAAGCAAGGAGAGAGGTTGAGTCATAGTGGCTCAGCGGAATGTGTACTCTTGACAATGGGCCAGATTTGAGCCGATTCTCCAAATAAGGTGACGTTGAACCCCTTCTTCACATGTAAGATCTTTACAGGGTGACTCGTGTGTGCTACACTGGTGAAAGTAGTAGCAGGGAATAGTAAAGTATTTATTTTATTTTATTGGGGGAAGGGGGGGGGGCCACTGATAATAGAACTACAACCCCCCCCCTGATACAGCCCACAATTGACTGATTAAACACATCAGATTAGGCTTGTTGTGGGAATGTGTTGTATCGAAAGTAAGAGTGGTTAATATACTAGTTGTGTGACTGCATTTTTAATAGGCAAGTGATATGACTGACTCTGCAGTCTCATCATACCAGCACAGTGGGAAATGATTCATGCTGTGTGTGGGTGCATAGCTATTGATGTGATACTTTTTATTAAAGTAATCCTGTGTCTTGTACTTAGTGTTAAGTGTAAACCACTGTTCACATTTATGCACATGTTTATGCCAAATCACCCAAAGTACTGCTACTCTTACTTGCATTAAAGCACTGCCTTAGTTCAGGGGTATTCCAAACCCCCAAGAAGTCTCTAATCACATTAAAATTATAGTTAATAATGTATGGACCTGTGAGAAGTCCTCTAGATTGCTCATTACACTGAAGAGACTAACAACCCAGTGGATCATAACTAGGGTTCACACCTGTCTGAGAAAGGATACCTATATTGGATCCCACATTCGACTAGCTGTGTTCTGGTCGGGGTACAGCTGCTCTTGTAAATGGTTTGCCTTGATAACAAGGCATCAACAGCTTTGTTGAGCCATTCTTCACACGTAAATTGGGGATGTTGCATGCAATTGCAGTCACTGCAAAACCATCATTCCACAGATTCATAAAGAGGAATTTCTTTATTGTGGAGGTAGTGACAAACTTCAAAATGTAGTTATGACAGAGCATAAAAGACCCGAGTCATCTAACCAGAAAACTAATAGCTAAGTGACTGGGTAAGAGCTGGAGCATATCCCCTACAAACACACAGGAAACCGTAAGACAACTACAAAATATCCAAGATGCGTGCCATCAGCAGTAAAAAACAAAACCCATAAAATATTGAAGCAAGTAGAGTACACTGCACATAAAATGTTGGTGTATTTTATTGTGTCACATGTTAATATGTGCCAGCATCAACATTTCAATAGTCTATAGTACTTACTACTAAATCATTTACTCAGATGATAAAAGCACCTCCAATATGACAACCAAAAATCTGACCTTAGTTTAGTTTGAGTTATAATGATTGTGTGACAATGATCAAGCATAAATACAGTATTTGTACATAAATTCATTGATGCCTTTTTCTCTATGGGAAATTACCATCCTTAGGAAGGCATGAATGACAGTAATTACAATTCAACTGTGAAGTCCTTACAGGTACATTGTCATCATAAGCTCTTCTCCTGACCTAACATTTACATATTTACAAGTTTATCACTAGTATCTCTACTTAACTACAGTAGATTTTGTTGAGAAGGCAATATGGTTCTCCACTAAATGGGGACACCAAGTAACCCTGCAGTGTAATTGTATTCCAAGTATGGAACCATCAACCATGAACGAGATGCCTTGGTTTACTTCAACAGTAATGGATCCATGGGCACAAGCCGTCTTTGAACTCGCTTATCCACAAAAAACAATTACCAAAAATATTAAATAGATAAATGTCATGGGCCAACTTGTTCTAAACAATTTAAATATTCTTGGATAATGTTAGGCATGATTTAAACTTAAATAACTGTACACAGACTAAGATTTGGACAGTAGGCAACAGTACATTTACTTACGTAATACGTAATTCCTTTAGCCAGAAAAAAAATCTTCCCCAATGTATGCTATCGGCTATTTTGTGATTATCAAGAGATGTGCAGTAACTTCAATGATAACTTCCATCCAGAGCATCTCTCATCTCTTAAAACTAGGCATTTGTGATTAAGGACCCATTACAAAAAACCTAAATGCAATAAGTCAAATGTCACTAACAATTATGGCCAAACAAAACTAATGGACTCCGACATCAATAACTTTTCCATACATAACTATAGCAATTGTACATTGCATACTAAAAATTATAAATGGGCCATTTGGACACAGAAAATGTTGCTGCAAGAATTTAAACATATGGCACTAGTCAAGCTAATATATGATATGAATTCTCATTTTTGTTTTTGCAGAATAAACACTGTTGGCAACAGCCATTTCTTTTACTCCCCAGACAGGAAAAAGACAATTTAATAAATGTATTGATGAAAATAACAAAAACTTCAGTTAGCACTTTGTGCAGTCCTTTCACATTTAATATTTTAGAAAATTATCCGGTGACAGAAAAATTGTCACCTAATATGACCAATGGATCCATTTAAAACTACAATAAAGATATAATCTAAAAACATTACTTCACAACTACAGTTTCAGGCTACCATATGCCATTTCTGCCCATCTAAAAGTTGCTGCTCATTTCACGTAAGAAAATGTGAACTTGTTTTACAAGCACAAAATAAAAGTTACATTTTTTTCCAGACAATTAAAAATGGAGAATGATATGCAAGCTTCTTTCTTTTTCCCTGCAATGAATTTCAAAACTGATAGTTTTTGTATACAAATCTGCAATGCTTGTGAAAATTAAATTAAAACTGACCCCTATTGTATTATATAAGTGAAATAAGATGAAAACAATCCACTATAAATAATATGCACACTTTTGTACAAGAATGTAAGAACTCTTGTATATATAAATATATAAAACAAAATGAAAAATAAATAAAAATAAAAAGAATCACAAACATCCATGACAAAAAGAGCAACTACTTAAGTTGGGAACCTCCTAATGTGATTTATGCCATACAAAAAAAAAAAAAAAAACTAATTTGGAGTATAATATTATACCTGGATGGGGGTTCTGGGAGTTCTTCTACCCCCTGGCACCAGGCTTGTCTTGTGAGACCTTAAGTCTATTATACAGATTTAGAAAACTTACCACATGAAAATGGTAATTATTATAACCATATTCTTGAACTACTGCATAGAAGGGAACTATCAGGAGAAAGTGCCAAGCCATTACAACTATATAGCACTTGAAAGGGATCAGTATAAACATTTATGATAGGATGAGGGAAAAGGAATGGTGCCCAACCACATGGACGGTCCGGGATTGAATGCCGACCTGCAAGAAGCGAGACCGTCTTTCTACCGTCCAGCCCCAAGTAGTTGGGCACTACTGCATATAACAGCTCCCAGTATATATATGCTCAGTTTACATTGATGAGGTGAACTGTTACAGTAACTCTTACTCCTGTCTTCCAATAATGAGATCAAATTGCCCCTTGTATCCAGTAGACTGATGGCCAAGCCATATGTTGAATCAATACATAGCTCAACTTATGACACGCATGATACTTCAACTCGTCAAAATGCAAATAAAATAGTATTTATAATTTTAATGGCAAGTGTTGTCATGAATGGACGGCATGGTATGAGTAAACAAAGCCTCATTCAACATATTCATGTTGAGCACTTAGTGAGGGGCACTCTTAAATACCTTCATTAAGATAAATGTTAACTTATTTCACCTCTAAAGGAATACATTTTCTATGAAAAGATATATGCTTGGGGGTGAGAGAGGATTGCCTGAACCTTCTAAAAATCAAGCCCCAACTAGGGAAAAACTATATCCTTAGCAATACTTTTATAAACCAAATGATTATGTCAACTTCAGCAATTCTACATTACCATGCAGTAGCTTTTCCTACTTTGTGGTGGTGATGTGGCCTCACCCCCACTCTCTCCTGAAACATCACCATCATCACTGCCATCATCCTCCTCCTCATTGTTGTCCGATACGCACGTGTTAGAAAACTCAACCGATGAGTCTGCTTCACACTCTGTAGTTGAATCTTTCACAGTAGTATCTGCAGTAAAACAATCCAATCTTGAGGAGTCTTCAATGGGTGTGCTACTTCGCGGAATTGCCGAGCACAAAGGTAAAGTTTGCTCACACGTAGGCTTATCTAAAGCCTGTGATGATTCCATACACCTGAAAAATATATTTAAACCCAATAAATTTCATGATAAATGTTAATGCACATTGCCAAAATTATCTTGATAACTAATTATATGGCTCTGGTATTTATTTAAGCTACTGTAAAAATCCCCTACTTTTTTTTTTAGGTATTAACATGACCATAATGAATAACTCATCAAAAAATTAATAATTGTTTATATACTATAGTGATATCTAATATTAAAGAATAAAACAGATTTGCAAGATACAATAATTTATGTGAAATAACAAGCATGAATACTGACATCGATCACAAATACTCTGAGCACGACTTTGTGAGTGCATCAGACCAACACTATAGCAATAAAATTCTTTACATAAAACCTTGGCTGTCTAAAGAGAGCAATACTTCATTTATACAAAATATCTGAAACTGTTTGAGCAGTATAATTTCTTCCTCACTGATGTCCTTGTCCACATGTTACTTTTCCAGACAAGGGAAAAAATAAAGCGAAAGGGCACAGGTGGGAGTTGAAAACACCGATGAGCAAGAGAGATACAAGTATCTATAAATAGTGCAAATAATAAGCAAGTGGAAGGTGTTGAGTAAAGGATGTTTAAGCTACCTCCATTCACAGCTTCAAAAGCTTGTGCACAACTGTACCTGAATGGCAGGAGGTACAGATGCACCCGGTACAAAAGCTAGAACTTGCTACTAATAAGGACAGTTAGGTATGTATATACACATATCGACAACTTACATCAACTAGGGATTAATGTATTCAGATGATTAGTAACTTAACAATTTTAAACATAATTTAAATGATTTGGAATGAAAAAAAAAGTAAGATGAAACCCAAATATATTATGTGGAAATGAAGGAGCCATGCAGTTCATTAGAACTGCATGGCTCCATGTTACACTGTGTAACACTGCATGTTACCCCAGTTGCTTCAGCCACTGAATTAAAAATTGGAAAATAAAAAATTAAGGACACTATTATTATGGTACAGTATAATATATTATAAAGCTTGAAATGTCAAATAGTGTTAGTACCCTCCTTCCTCATATTTCTTAAGACTTTGAGTCATTTTTTTCTCACCATATGATCAAGGTGTCGATACCTTTTCAATACATATACTATACCGTTTCAAAATACAAATACGCTCCTCCTAAATATGGACCTCAAAAACAATAGACCACATCTTCTCACAGGTCCCCCTTACCCCCCCCCCCAAAAAAAAAGAGGGTGCTGCTGGAAAACTCTGGATTATCAGTTCACTACATATCAGTAGTAATTTCCATCAAATTTAATTATTTTTCTTATTTTTTTGCTAGTCATTTTTTTATTTATGAATCATATTCAAAATACCAAAATGCCCTTATATCTTAAAAATATTTACTTACACTATAAATGTACTGCACTACACTTGTGCAGTACACTATAAATTGTAAAGTATGGGGAAGAAAAAATGAAGTTTTGCAGTCATGTAGATGTATTGTAAGGGGAAGCATACCGGCTGTTTGTTTTACTTGCATGTGGCAGTGTCCTCTGACCTCTAATTATTCAACAATTTCCTGTGGATTTTATTCCGATAACATTTGCACATTATTGGCATATCAGATAGAGACAAGAGGTACGTTCTTACCATAAACAAAATGGCTGAGTTATTAGAAAAACTATGATTGTGGCTGGGAAGGAAAGCAGCTGGCACTAGTACTGACATAATAAAAGCAAAGGAAGTACTGTAGATCATATAGTTTGTGAACAAAAGTCGAGCACTGAAGGAAGGAAAAGTAACACAAGAGCATTGAAGCCTTCTAAAAATGGAGTTTTAAATGATGGTATTTACCAATAATTGACATTGACGCTTGGGGGCTGGCTGTTGGTGGCAACCACATACAGTCTATAGCAAAGAAAATTAACCATGGACATTGAGAATTTCCAGACCAGGTCAGAGTGACTGCAAAAGTTTGAATAGATATATGACATGACATAGTACTATAGCCACATTTTTGCTGCCTCTCATCAAGATCAGCCAGTGCTACAAAAAAGTAAGAAAGCCGATAAATTGTCCACGATTATTTATAGGCACACAAAAATTATTATTATTTGTGTCCAAGTACGCATAAACATGTACCACTTGTTTTAAGATTGGTGATAACGAGCCAAAAATCCTAAATTTGTGCAAATCCGGTTCAAATCTGGAATAAAATGATCGAGACTGGGAGGCATCATGGAAGGCATAATATCAACTCTGTGTTATATATGGTTAGATTTATTCAAGTTATGTTAGTTGCCTTGGCTTGTTAATATAATTGAACAAATTTTAGTAACTACCTACATAAGTTAGAGTTTGAATTTTAGAAACTGATTTATCAGTTAGAAATTAAACAGTAAACACCAGATTAAATACACAGATTCTTCCTATATAAATTGGTTTTAATACCTGGTTAATAAGATTTTTTTTTGACACATACTGTGTAAAAGTTTAAAGGTGATATGTTAGTTAATTCTGTGACAAAAAGAAACAAACTTACACATTTACTGATGAGAATAAGGTGGACTTTGAAGTCACATTCTCATTTATTGCTCTGCGTGGTACCACACACCATCTAATACAAAAGAATAATATGTAATGAATGCTTTTTTTTTTTAAAGCAAAACTGGTTTTAACTAAAAAGCATTCAAAATAATAGCAAACAAACTTCAACACTTTCACTTCAACCTCATTAATGGGTTCTACCCACCCCACTTTCCCATATCATTCTTTGGTTAATCAGAGAGAAATATATGGTCCACCAGTTCCATTTGCTGGAGGAAGTATGATTATCTTGAGGTTATCTTGAGGTTATCTTGAGATGATTTCGGGGCTTTAGTGTCCCCGCGGCCCGGTCCTCGACCAGGCCTCCACCCCCAGGAAGCAGCCCGTGACAGCTGACTAACTCCCAGGTACCTATTTACTGCTAGGTAACAGGGGTATTCAGGGTGAAAGAAACTTTGCCCATTTGTTTCTGCCTCATGCGGGAATCGAACCCGCGCCACAGAATTACGAGTCCTGCGCGCTATCCACCAGGCTACGAGGCCCCCCCTACGAGGTTACTGGGGGAAACCACCTCATCAAATAAGCAATGCATTATAATCTATGAAGAGATGGGAGAATGAAACAGCTGAAAAACCTGATTTAAAGAGAGGAGACTATGGAGAAGTGAACAAGTGTTTAATGAAATTGATTGGAAAGATGATGATGTTTGGAAAGGAAGTAAATGAGAAGTATGCCAAAGTTTGAGAGATACTGCAGCTTTATTTGGGCGAGTCGTTTCAGCAAGTTTGTAGTTCTTCCCATGCTGCACACATTTTCTTAATAAATGAGGAAGGGGCATCCTCTACATCAATAACCCTCATACTATTTTCACGTTTACGAATGATCTCTTGTTTTTCCTCGTTGGTCATCCTCACATGTGTTTTCTTAGGTTGAACCTTACCACTGACTTTCTTGGGACCCATGGTGTGATATATAAATTAGTTTTATGTTCAAAAAACAAAAAAATCACCAAAATAATGGAATTTCTTACAAGCGTGATCATCACTAAGCGGGCGGCTCTGGTAGACTGAGGCAGGTCAGCCCATGCAACAAGGAACCATGCACTCAGTCAACCTGAACGCGCATCAATGAATATCGTTAATCGACGACACTATCGTAAGTCGAGTCCCATTTTCCGACCAAATTTACATCGTAACTCAAAAAGATCATAAGTCAAGGTGTCACTGTAGTTGGATACATAGATGAATAGATAGACCAACAGAGAGATAGATAGCCCAGCAATGTACTGGGGAAGTACCCAGCACACATAATGAAGAAACCAAAACACTCGAGTTAAGAAAAGTCTGACTGTTGCACTCCCTTCAATTAAGGCCAATAACGCTGCAATCTAAACAAATAAAAAATAAACACACAGAGCAGCTGTGCCACACCTCTGGCAACCTCCTGTGCCAGCTGGGACATAAACTAACCAACTAAGCCACCACCAATACACACCACAGAACCTGAACTTAAACAAAACCCAGGCAGACAGGCCACTAAACTTAGTGTTTACCCCCCAATCTTTTTTCCTTATCCTAATTTTCAACCTTTTAGCCTCTTTCTGCAAAACATTGGCATCATCATTCTGGGAGACAGGAACCTCCCTGATCCATTAGCTGGCTATCAGTGAGAAATAAATGGCCAATTCTTATGTGAAAGGTTGGGTGGGATAAAGTTAGATGACACTGGGCTGCATTATTTAATAAGTTGTCCTCAAAATATTTTAGAACATATTTTATTTTATTAAAAAATATTTTAAAAATATTTAAAAACTTCAGCAAACTGTGTAATGCACACATGCACCCACCAATGCTTGTGGATGCAATTTTATTTTGTGCTGTACCAATATCCTGTCAATATCCCCAATTAATAGTCATACCTGTCAACACGAGAGATTTGATGCTGGCGTGAGGATTTTGGTGTTGGAGGCAAGTTAGAAGTTGAGAATGGAGTACTTGGGATATCCAATGGGTCTTCACTCTCCTGATTTGGGGTGCCACACTCTCCATTATCCAGACCAATGTCTTTCATCTGCATTGTGAGAAATAATGTTAATAATTAATAATAAAAGTTTTGTACCTTAATACAATTTTTCCCTAAAGTTAAAAACTTTCCTGATGACATGTCTAACATTAAAACATTTGTCTGAAAAATGGTTAAAAAATTACACACGTGTAGATCATTGGAAAAACTAGAACCATACAAGTAATTTAGGCCACTGATTATCTGGGAGAAAAGGTAGGACAGGTTTACAATGCCACATTATTGTCAACAGAACGGAACCCGATGTTATTAGAACGCCAGAAGAATTCATCAATGTGATATATGAAGATTTTAGATACAGATCAAATTATGACTCCAAATCAGATAGTTGCTCAACTGGACAAAAGACTTTATGAAAAACGTGAATGTTGCATGTGTGTGTGTGTGTGTGTAACAGGAAATAATGGAGATGAGAAATTGCTATATAAATGACACGAAGTTAGGGAGTACCTGGAACTCAAAACATTTCATGCTTTCATACCAGGAACAAGGAATGGATAAATAATACAAAAGTTTTTTACAGAAACAACTAGTGAAGTTCAGCAATCACATATCCAATTTGAAACATTGTCATTGGAAGAAATAATAGGTTTGGTGATGCATCTATAATGATGCCTGTCGATTAGATTGTTATGAATATGAATGCAACATCACGTGTGGTTCCAATGAATTACCTGCATCCTATTGCCCCATCCCCATCATATGAGTATCCTCACCAGCCAGATATATAGAACATTCTAACTGAACAAGTTCTCACTAAGGCTGACCCAAACACTGCAACTGGACAAACTTACACATTAACTGCTGCAGACATTCAAAACACAAAAGAGCTGCAGAGGAGAAAGCACTAACTTTTTAAGATTGTAATTTTTTCTAAAAGATGTATGACATACTTCATTCTCTGATATGGTAATTTCCATAAACAAGCACTTGGGTATTTCACTGACTGTGAGGTATGCTATTTTCATGATTTTTGTTTTTGTTTATTCATTCCCAGAGCCATCCCAAAAGAGGACAGTCCAGATAACCGAGAATGACAATGAGACGTATAGTATCTTGAATAAATAATTTGTCTCTGTATTTACTAAAACAGAACTTAACATTATGCCTTCAGCTAAACAAATCTATAATGGCAGGGAAGAAGACAAGTGGACTAGTTTAGTAGTTACTAAGAAGGATGTTATTAACCACCGTGCTGTGCTGCATTAAAATATCTGTATGACACCCCCTGTGGTGCGCCAAAAATAAATTATTTCCACAAACTTATTTTCTCTTCTTATATTGTTAAAATGCAGTTTCTGATCACGAGAAACTAAAATAAAATATTGGATGTGACACACTTTAGCCATGATAGAACTGAGAAGTTGAGCGAATTATGGGTACTGAGTTAAGAAGCGCTTGGGGTCACTTGACCCCCGCCACCCCGTGAGGCAGCAGTTGCTGCGAATATAAATTTTCACAATTATTTTGATGTTTCTCATTCGTTTCTTTCTATTTTTTTTTGGCTGTAATATTTTTCAAAAGTGTGTAATTTGTGGAATTTATATAGTTCAATGTGTGGAACTTATAATTATGTGGGTCATATATGTGACATGTACATTATATTCTACGATCAATCAGTTTTATACACTATATACACCCACGTATATACAATAATAATTGTAAACGAGGCTGCCAAAGATTGAGAAAAGACGTACAGGTTCGCAAGTGCTTGGGTAACTACTGTACTTCGTGAATCTGGCCCCCTGGTAGTTTCGTGTATGTATGCAAGAATCAGCTCAGAATAAAGAACCTTGCAAGTGTTCACCATACCTGTGTTACAGTCTCCCTCTCATAATCCACCTTCTTCTTTAGTGTTTGCTTCAATATATGGCTTGGCAGAGGATCAGGTTTCGGAGTAAAGGGTTTAACCTTTCCGTTAGAAGCTTTGCATGTGGTTCGCAGAGGAGATGACCGTCTTAGGAGCTGTAGTTGAACACGGGCAGATGGTAGCACTGGAGTGGAGCCTTAAAAAAAAAAATATTTTAATATATTCTTTACACTATAAGTACTGATAAATTGTGCACAATTAAAGAATAAATAAAAACCAGACAACTAAAAAAAAATCAATGTTCCAATCAATGTAAATTGCAGGAGGCATCACTGGTCCCTACACCATGCATATCTCACCTTACAAACAAGACAGTTCTCATCATTTAAGCTTTCACTATACAAAAATTAAACTTATTATAACTATTCTTTACACAGATGATTGTACAGTAATTGACAATTGATTTATTATACACTTATTTTGTCAAGTTTCTACATGTAGAGAAACACCAAGGGTAGATTTCATTTGTTGGCAACATTCTGCATGTATAGTAAGGGTGGAATATCCAACAAATAACTAACATCAGTTTTTTTTTTTTACTTGCTAGCACTTTGTGCTCTCAAACTATATTCCACCTAATATATTCAAATGTTGGAGAAATGACAAAATGAGCTAGAGTATAGCAAATAACTCACCTATATCAATATCTGGTTTTGATTGAAGTTTCCTCTTAGAAGATGGGGTCTTTCTGACGGCACTAAACGATTCTGGACTAGCCGAAACTATTCTAACCCTTTTAGAACTTTTGGTACTAGACCTTGTCATTCTTGGAGGCTTAGGTGATGGTGTTGAAACTGTTTTCAAGTGTAATTTAGGGCGTGGAGATGGTGCTGTATTCATTCTTACTGGCCTTGTGAGGATAACCCTTGCAATACTACGGCTTATATTTTCATGGAGTGCAGCTGTACTGTTAATGCTTACCTCTGCCCGAGAATGAGTGGTGGAGCTCTTTAATATGCCTAATGAATTCTTCCGATTGACAGGGGACGGGATCGGAGATTTAACTATGTTAATTTTTCGAGACAGGGTAATACTTTTTGTTCTTGTAATCTTTGGCGATTGTATTGTGCTGACTGCTCGTGTTATCTTTGGTGACCGGACTGCAATCCTCGGTGATTTATTTACACTCACTGCTTTTTTAAGTTCTGGTGACTTATCCCTTGTCCTCAAGAGTTTTGGCGATTTTTTTGTATTCTTAGTCATTGTAGGGTTTAGTGATATACTCGAATCTCTCTCTTGCTTAGACGTTTCCAAAGTATCCTTCATTCTTAGCTCCAGTGCCCGACTTGCACCCCTGGATTTCTTCAGCTCTGGTGACTGGCTTACATCTCTCTTTCTCTTAAGATTAGATGATTGGATTGCATCCTTCTGTTCCAGTTTTGGTGACTGTGACTGGAGAGCAGCTCTTTTATCAGGTTTTGGTGATCGGACTGCATTCTTTCTTTCGGGTCTTGGTGATTGGACTGCATTCTTTCTTTCGGGTATTGGTGATGGGACTGCATTCTTTCTTTCGGGTCTTGGTGATCGGACTGCATTCTTTCTTTCGGGTTTAGGCGATCGGACTGCATTCTTTCTTTCGGGTTTTGGTGATGGGACTGCATTCTTTCTTTCGGGTCTTGGTGATCGGACTGCATTCTTTCTTTCGGGTTTTGGTGATTGGACTGCATTCTTTCTTTCGGGTTTTGGTGATTGGACTGCATTTTTTCTTTCAGGTTTTGGTGATTGGACTGCATTCTTTCTCTCGGATTTTGGTGATTGGACTGCATTCTTTCTTTCGGGTTTTGGTGATTGGACTGCATTCTTTCTTTCAGGTTTTGGTGATTGGACTGCATTCTTTCTTTCAGGTTTTGGTGATTGGACTGCATTCTTTCTTTCGAGTTTTGGTGATTGGGCTGCATTCTTTCTTTCGGGTTTCGGTGAATAGGTTAAAGCCTTTCCCTTTACAAGCTTCAATGATGATCTGACCATATGCCCAATTTCTAAATTTTTATTCAAGGATGGTCCTAGCTTCCTCCTCTTTGATGATGGTTCAATCTGAAACTAACATGATTTCACTAGACTATATTATTGAACATGTACCTTATTGTTTTTTTGAGTTTGAATGGGTGTTTGTCCCCTTCTTAATTGCAGCCCCTGATCACTATTACAAAACTCAAGAAATATAATGGGTTGACAATTTAAGGGATGCAACTGCATACAAAAAATCAGCATTGAATGTAATAAAACACCAATTTTTGGATGAGCTTGGAGACCTGCCTGAAGCTATTATACTGATTCAGTGCCATACTACTATGTGCCATAAGTCGCAGAGTTCTTATTGGCCTACTGGGGACCATGAGACAGTACCTGGCCCCCCTCAGAGGCAAAAGGAGCGATGGCACTATGAATATCTTACATTTAATCGTGTCTGCCACCGCCATGGAAACATCAAAAAATCAATGAAACAAAACAGACTACTGCATGGTTAGAATGAGACTACACTCAAAAATTGCCAAAAGAACTAAGAACCTCAAGAATCAATGCTGGGACCAGGTCTATTTCTAATATACATAAATAACATGTCTACAGGAGTCGAGCCCTATAAGCCAATGTTTGCGGATGACACAAGATTAATGAGAAGAGTCGTGACAGACGATCCTGTAGGACCCTACAAAAGAGGGTTTGAACAGGTTGCAAAAATCTCAACACGAGCTAATGTAAAGTTACGGAAATGGGATTAGGTGACAGAACAAAGGGACAGTACACAATGAAGTGAAACTACCTACCTGTGACAATTCGAGGAAGACCTGGGAATAGACGTAACACCTAATCTAACTCCCGAGGCACATATAAATAGGATATCGACAGCAGCGTACTCAACACTGGCAAAAGTTAGAACGACATTCAGAAACCTTAGTAAGGAGGCATTTAGTGCGCTTAACACTCCCTACCTGAGACCAGTCAGAGTATGCCACCTCATCATGGAGTCCCCACCTGAAGAAACACATAACGAAACTGGAAAAGTGTCAGAAGTTTGCGATGAGGCTCATCCCAGAGTTACGAGGGATGGAGTATGAAGAGCGACTGAAGGAACTGAACCTGAGAGGGGGGATATGATAGAAACATAAAATACTTAGGGGGATTGACAGAGTGGAAATAGACAAAATGTACACACTGAATACTAACAGAAGAAGGGGGACACAGGTGGAAGCTGGAAACTCGGATGAGTTACAGAGATGTTAGGAAGTTTTCTTTTAGCATGAGAATTGTGGGAATATGGAATGAACTTAAGGAGCAGGTTGTGGAAGCAAACTCTCAATAATTTTAAAACTAGATATGATAGGGAAATAGAGCAGGTAATTGATATAAGCACCTGATGACAAGAAAGGCGGGGTCCAGGATTCAATGATTGATCCTGCAGGCACAAATTGGTGAGTACATACACACACACACTTAATTTCTCATTCACTTTCATTTTCAAGTGCCAACCCACTACAACACAAACCCCAGCAACTATTGTGCATGCTACTAAAATCAGAACAATTTCATATGAATATAAATCAAAGCACATCCAGTTTCATAAGTTAATAAAATATTCACAGATTAATTAACAATCTTTCACTGAACAAAAATATTAAATACTGTACCTGCTCTGTAACTTCCGCTTCAACCTTTCTCTTCTTGTTTCCCTCGGCACGCACACTGCTAGACGATCGAAGTGACCTATGGCGAGTATAATAGGTTTGTTTGTCGGGCGAACAACTGGATTTTTGTCTAAGCAGTTTCGTGTCACCCTTTGTATCCTGCACTCTTGTAACTGATCTGTCTGTCTTTATCATATCTGGCATGGAGACGATTTTTCTGGCTGGAGGTGGTTTACTAGGTGGCAGTTTAACTTTAGAAATCTTCACTGGACTTAATTTGTCATCTATTGGCACTGGTAGTTTGGTGGTCTGAAGATTTGTTTGCACACTCTCTCTCTTGCCGAAATGAGCCATTGACTGCCTTCGTGTTTTTCGAATGGTGGAAGCTGGTGAAGTAATTTCAAAATTCAAAGGAACATCTATCCTCTTCAGTATCAGGGTCTGTCTGCGATTCTGAAAAAAATAAAATAAAATACAATAAATATTATTATCAAATACTGATATACTTTACATGTTACTACACAGTGCAACTTCATTTTTTAGGATCAATGCATCTTCAAAGTCTATGGACACCATCCAAACTCCAGCCTGTAGTAGCAGGCATACTCGGCCAAAGTGGTCATGCAAACGTTGGACAAGGAATGAACTGTTCAACCACAAAAGATTGATGATGTACTATAGGTCTACTGAATCCCACTGTGGGATCGGGAACAGCTGACCCGAACAAACCTAGCTCATAATGCAACAGCTACCTGAAAAGCTTCCAAACTTGAAGCTGAATTAGTAAGAGCAGAAACCTAGTGAGAACACACCTCACAGGACTCAAGTTTTGTAGGTACCAATGACCAAATAAACAGCATGTGGGGAAACAGAAAGAATGATCTTCACCAGATATCAAATACGATGAGCATTCTTTATGCTCACACTCGGCGAGTGTGGTCTTAGCAGGAAAATCCATAATAGACCACAAAGGGTACACCAGAAATCACAATAACGTGATACAGTATATCAAATAAATCCACAAGGGTTTATCAAGACCTGAAGTCGGCTAACCAAGCACAAACCCCAGATACAAGAGCTGCCCACCTGCCTGGGTGGTGGTGGTGGTCAGTACTAACAAGTTTTGAGCTAGTTTGAATGAATCCCTTGTTCCGTGGGAATCATTTGTAGGGAAGTTTGGCAATTTTTTAGAATTTGTTTTGTGAACCCTCTAGTTGTTTTCAAAGCCTTGTCGACTTCCTGGAAGCTTTTCCCGGTGAAGGTGGCAAATTATCACTCGCTCCCTGCACCTCTGTGAAGGAAAAGGGGTCAGGTATTGGCTCTAGTCCCTAGTTGACCAAACAGAACTTCCACAATCGGTGTGACTATTAGTATGGAATACTCTCGGCAACATAGCTTCAGGGAGCCACTGGGGAGCTCCCCGAGACGTTTACTCAAAAGCAGCTGTGTCCAAGAAAAATATTCTTTGGCTTGTGATGAAGATCAATGTTGTTGTTGTTTAAGATTCGGTACCTGGAGAAAAAAGTTCCAGGTAGCACGGGTTATGGTGAGCCCGTAATTGAAGATCAATTTTTTTTTTTGAGATATATACAGTACAAGAGTTGTTACATTCTTGTACAGCCACTAGTATGCGTAGCGTTTCGGGCAAGTCCTTAATCCTATGGTCCCTGGAATACGATCCCCTGCCGCGAAGAATCGTTTTTTCATCCAAGTACACATTTTACTGTTGCGTTAAACAGAGGCTACAGTTAAGGAATTGCGCCCAGTAAATCCTCCCCGGCCAGGATACGAACCCATGACATAGCGCTCGCGGAACGCCAGGCGAGTGTCTTACCACTACACCACGGAGACTGCATATTTAGCTATTTATGACTACTGTCATAATTATTTCATAAGAATTAGGAAACTGCAGAAGGCCTATTGACCCAAATGTGGCAGCTCCTATTTATATCTACCCGAACTTATTCATATATATGCACTGTAATTGGTTTCACAAATTGACAACCCTATTACTGAACCAATATTTACCCAGTCTTTCCTAAATTTAAACTTATCCAATTAACAAGTTTTGTGTTCTATGTACATAAAAAAATTAAATAAAAAATAGAATTCATAAAACAGATGTAATTTTATAATTCTCATAAAATTTCATTCTTTTTAATTCAATATACATTTAATGACCACATTTAAAAAGATTGATTAAGCAAAATAACAATAAATTATTTGCATACCGGACGTGACACTTCTCTGCTCTTGGCCTTTGAAGCAACAACTGGGCTTCTCTTGCCAACCACTCTGCAAGAAGAATGTAGGATTAAAGTATTTGTGCTTGTTTTATAATTTCTAATATCATTTATAACCGTTCTTCTTAGGGTTGGATGTTTGACAACGACATTCATCTGATACTCGCAAATTCTCCTCTCTCTCTCTCTCTCATATTATAATATATACCTGTATATGTTTATTTTATATGCAAATGTATCATTTAATACCCAACCTCCTCCAGCACAGGCAGTGAAACCTTTGATGATATCCATACTTTAAGGATTAAGCTAGCAAATTAATCTTGCATTAAAATTCACGCATGAAAAATATAACTACATACCTCTTCGATAAAGATTGAGATTCTGCCGACAGGTAATTTGTTGCAGGGAGCCATTCATCATCAGCAGATTCCTTTTTCCCTCCTTTAGGGATGGATTTGAGACGCCCATCCACACTCCGTTTGCGAGGCGAGATAGCCATTGCCCTGGAGGAAAAAGTTACATAAACTCGGCCATTTGTAATAAATTATTGCACTAAAGCTTTGACAAATTTAATCCCAGGAATTAGAAACATCCCTTATAAACAGATTGACAAACTAAATTTACGTTCACCAGAAAGAGGAAGAGTAATGGGGGACATTTTTAAAGCAGAGTTTGTTTTGTGAACCCTCTACAGTATATATATGGATGAAGAAGTACAGTATACTATACAGTATGAAGGTAGTACAGTATATATATGGATGAAGAAGTAATACAAAGTGGATATCAATAAGGTTTTAAAGATATTAATACAAAAAAGAAATTTAAACATTGGATACAAATTGGAGTTATATATTCAGGAAAGACTTTGGTAAACACACACATAGTTTTAACATTAATAGGCATACTGTACTTAATATATAACTTATGATATGAAATTCCAACTTCTTCTAATCTAACAATAAACTCACTCTGGCAAAACAAACACCACACTATTTAGTCCTTTTGTCTAAATATTTTTCTCCACATTTAGTTTCTATAATTTTATCTCGATCCAATATTACAGAAAAATGTCAAGACGCCTTAAGCTTTTACCTGTGACAATTGTTTTTTTCAAGAAATGCTGCCTTGCTGTGCTAATTTTAAGCTTTGCCTATAGACTGCATTACTGCTTTTTCAAAAATTCAGGCAATAAAGTGCTTGATGGCTTCTGACCTGCCATTCGTTGGAAACTGGCACTCTGGCACAGCTCTATATACAGAAGTGGAGTTTGTCTAACATACCAATTTGATATAAAATAGGATAAATAGGATTTTTTTTCTTGCAATGTATATGTTATTCTATTAATTCTGCTAGAATTAACTACTTCAAATTATCTGTTAGATTAAGGACCTGCCCGAAACGCTGCGCGTACTAGTGGCTTTACAAGATAGTAAATACTATGCTATGTATTCTCACAAACCCAATGTACCTTCTTGTATATGAATAAATAAAATAAGATAACAGGGCGTGGGTTGCTATACAAAGTTCACAGTACCAATGAGTTAGTATGGAGTATATAGTTAGTGTAAGACATGGGAGCTCATATGAGCCTGGTAGAGAGCCGTGACCCCTAGAGATGACGGGTTACTGCTGCCCGTCACACACCTCTAGGTGGGTGGTGATGAGTTAAATCATCAACCATCACCAGTGAGGGTGAGAGGTGACACCTCCCTCACGGCCCTCATGACACCCCCGCCACACACTAGGGGGGGCAGCGTGGAGGCTGCTACCCCTGCACCCACACACAGGGAGGCCTGCCAGGGGTACACAAGCAGGTAGTGTTGTGGTGAGAGAGAGAGAGAGACAAGGTCATGTGTGGAGGAGGAGGATAAGACAATGGGTGTGGAGGGAAGCGTCGGGTCTCGCGTCAGGCATTTAACACAACGTTGCACCTCTCAAACGTTGACGCCGCCCGCCACTCACGCCTCGCACACACCACCTACCGCTCTCCTCGCGCCCTCCTCGCTCAGCCAAAACACTCGCGCACACGCACACCACTTCGCCAGGAGAAATACGCCGCCTTCGTCGGTAAAATCGGAAAATTCAGAGAGAGTATTGTTTGTGAGGAGTGAGTGTGACGCAGGCCTGGCCGGGGTCGACCAATGAGAGCCGGGCTCGGCGGCGCCAGCCAATCACCGCCCGCGCCCTCCAACACCTCAGCCAATCAAACAAGTTTCGTTTGTTTTGAATATACCCGTAAAACTGCCGCCAACATTACGCATTTTCATCCCGGGCTAAAAACAATTAAAAGAGCTTCCTGTATGGATCGCGGCTGCCCCAGACGGCATTTACGGAGTTCTTAGAGGAGAGTGAAGGGTGAGGGGCGAGGGGGCGGGGTGATAAGGGGCAGGAGGAGGGCACTAGTGAGCGAGGCGGAGGCGCGGGGCGGTACAGCGGCCAGGTTTGAATGTCTCCCGCGCAGTTTGCGCGTAACGATGAGGCGGTGAGGTCAGGGCCGCTCCTCACTATATTGTATTTAATTCCTTTTTCAGGTGGTACGTAAAACCCAGTTGTTATTACTGTTATCCGTGTGTCGTGAGGGGCGAGGAGTGTCAAGGTGGCGGTGGGCGAGGCAACATTCTGGCCATTATTGGAGTGTCGGCCCGAGTGACAGTTGAATGTGAATGAAGTGCCAGAAGTGGTCAGTGTTTTATATATGTGACTTTTAACGTGCGGTGTTGCGAGCAGGTGTGTGTGGGGGTGTGGGGGGAGGCAACATGTGGCTGTGGTGTGTGGTGTGCACCTTCACCTACCCGCGCCCACACAATCTCCAGCATTAAGATTTAATTCAACATAATATTCTAATTATGGCAACATCGATAATTCGAAACTCGATAATTTTTTTGTGTGTATAATTCCGGCAGTGTTGCCGCCCCCGCCAGTGTTACATGCTCAACACTGGTGTCACTAGTGTCACACTATACACATCTGCACGACATAAATATATATTAAAAGTTGCCTTGAGACACACAGTATAGCGACTCTTGATACATCTGAGAGGCAAGTGTTGCGCAGTAAGTGTTGAGAGGTGTTGTATGTGTGTGTTGCGGCCTGGAGGTGGTGGGGGGTTAAGGGGGGGCAAGAAAGGGGGGGTTATGGGGGGTGGGGGCCAGAGTGCATTGGCATCAAGGCCTACGCCACTCTGCGTCCCTCGCTCCTCCACACTATACTACACACACTTTGCGCCTCATAATTAAAGACGGGGTTTGGCCTTAGATGTGGTGTTAATAATGATGAGCGGTTACTAGTCACCTTCGGGGCGGTGGTTGTGGAGTGTAGTTTAGATGTAACAAGTGTGGCGGTGTTGGGATGTGGTGGAGCACCTGCCAGTGTGGCTGTACTCTGACGCCCAGACCTGGCTGCCGCTCTTGCAACACAAGCATCTTCTCTATGCTGCTATTTATAAATTGTACACATCTTTGTTTTATTCCATCAATTATAACTTATTAATAAACTAATTATAGTGATGGGTTCGTTGGCCTCCCGGTGCACTGAACGACCAGGTGATGATTCCTATTTAAACAGAATATTTGCTCCAAGAACAAAAGGTGGTGCCAAGACCTCAGTGTAGCATTGTCAGTAGGCTGGTTGCTGTCTCCATAAACTATATACAGTATAAACAACTGGTGTCTAGGTAATATATAATACTCTTTATTTTCTTCTCCGAGGCTGTATTCACCTAGTTGTGCTCACACGGGTTAAGCTCTCTTTCACCCGCCTCTCAACTGTTACTAACTACTAATTTTTTTTCCCACAAAAACACACTCCCAGGAAGCAGCCCGTAACAGCTGTCTAACTCCCAGATACCTATTTACTGCTAGGTAACAAGGGCAACAAGGCGAAAGAAACTGCCCATTTCTTTCTGCCGGTGCCGGGAATCAAACCTGGGCCACAGGATTACCAGTCCCATGTGCTGTCCACTCGACTACCAGACACCTGTAGAATACAGGGGTCCCTACAATTGCAATAGAGGTGTAACCCTCACAACTTTATTTATATAAATATATATGTATATAAATATATGTATATAAATATATGTATATAAATATATATATATAAATATATATATATATAATATATATGTATATAAATATATATATATATATATATATATATATATATATATATATATATATATATATATATATATATATAAATATATATTATACATATATACATACATATATATATATGTATATGTTTATATATGTATGTATATGTATATATATATACGTGTATATGTATATATATATACGTGTATATGTATATATATATATATGTGTGTATATGTATATATATGTGTGTATATATATATATATATATATATATATATATATATATATATATATATATATATATATATGTCGTACCTAGTAGCCAGAACACACTTCTCAGTCTACTATGCAAGGCCCGATTTGCCTAATAAGCCAAGTTTTCATGAATTTTCGACTACCTAACCTACCTTTTTCGCCTACCTAACCTAACCTATAACGATAGGTTAGGTAGGGTTGGTTAGGTTCGGTCATATATCTACGTTAATTTTAACTCCAATAAAAAATTTTTTACCTCATACATAATGAAATGGGTACCTTTATCATTTCATAAGAAAAAAATTAGAGAAAATATAATAATTCAGGAAAACTTGGCTTATTAGGCAAATCGGGCCTTGCATAGTAGGCCGAGTAAGACTTTCTGGCTACTAGGTACAACATGTATGTATGTATGTATATATATATATGTGTATATATATATATGTGTGTATATATATATATATATATATATTATATAATGCATATAATGTATACACACACATATTATATACGTGTGTATATGCAATTGCACCACCTCTGGTGCAATTGCAGGGACCCACAACCTCAAAGAAGAAAATAAGAGTATTTACAGAAGACCCCCCACTGACCACTGAACCCCCCAATATTTACTTCTACTACCCCCCCCCCCCCTTTTTTTTTTCTCCTTAAATTTTGTTTTATTTTTATTACATTGCTACAGTTTACAGAACACACACACAATCAATGTTTGAAGACCTCGTCCAGCTCCTCGGAGTTTGGGTGTGTACCCAAAATACAGCACGCATTTCCTCTCTGGATTGCGACACTGAGGCGCTGGAACAGAAAGCTGACTGCTCTTGCGTCTTTATTTTCCCAGTGTGTGTGTATATATATATATATATATATATATATATATATATATATATATATATATATATATATATATATATATATATATATATATATATATATATATATAATGTGTGTGTGTGTCGTACCTAGTAGCCAGAACTCACTTCTCAGCCTACTATGCAAGGCCCGATTTGCCTAATAAGCCAAGTTTTCATGAATTAATGTTTTTTCGTCTACCTAACCTAACCTAGCTTTTTTTGGCTACCTAACCTAACCTTACCTATATATATAGGTTAGGTTAGGTAGGGTTGGTTAGGTTCGGTCATATATCTACGTTAATTTTAACTCCAATAAAAAAAAATTGACCTCATACATAGTGAAAAGGGTAGCTTTATCATTTCATAAGAAAAAAATTATAGTAAATATATTAATTCAGGAAAACTTGGCTTATTAGGCAAATCGGGCCTTGAATAGTAGGCTGAGAAGTGAGTTCTGGCTACTAGGTACGACATATATATATATATATATATATATATATATATATATATATATATATATATATATATATATATATATATACAATATATGATTGCCATCATTAGAAAAATGATGGAAATGATTGAAAAAACGATTCTTCGTGGCAGGGGATCGTATTCCAGGGACCTGCCCGGAACGCTACGCGTACTAGTGGCTGTACAAGAATGTAACAACTCTTGTATATATCTAAAAAAAAAAATAGATGGTGATCTATCAAGTAAGGGAGGTCCCTATCAACAGTGAATACTTGGGGTATTGCTCTAGTGCTGAACAAAATAACTAGTCAAAAAGATGGCTGATACCTTACCTTGAGGTGTTTCCGGGGCCGGGGCTTAGCGTCCCCGTGGCCCAGTCGTCGACCAGGTCTCCTCGTTGCTGGACTGGTCAACCAGGCTGTTTGATGAGGCTGCTTTAATAAGGTGATACGCACCTTTGTAGGTGCTTATCAAGTTCTCTTGAACACTGTGAGTGGTCGGCCAGTTATGCCCCTTATGTGTAGCGGAAGCGTGTTGAACAGCCTCGGGCCTCTGATGTTGAAAGTTCTCTCTGAGAGTACCTGTTGCACCTCTGCTTTTCAATGGGGATATTCTGCATATCCTGCCATGCCTTCTTGTCTCATGTGTTGTTATTTCTGTGTGCAGATTTGGAACCAACCTCTCTACTCTTTTCCATGTGTAAATTATTATGTATCTCCCGCCTGCACTCAAGAGAATACAGATTTAGGCTCTTTAGTCGGTCTCAGTAGTTTAGATGTTTTACTGAGCGGATTCTAGCAGTAAAGGCTCTCTGCACGCTCTCCATGTCGGCAGTTTCTCAAATAGCTTTGAAAGAGGCTTTCATTATGCAGCAGTACTTCACTCTAGAGAGCACTAGTGTTTTGAAAAGTATCATCAGTATAGCATCTCTAGTGTGAAAGGTTCTTGTTATCCAACCTGTCATTTTTCTTGCAGTTGTGACAGTTACTTTGTGTTCTATAAAGGTAAGGTCTTGCGACAGGAGTACACCCAAATCCTTTACAATGCCTTTTCGTTCTATGTTATGATTTGACTGAGTTTTGTACATGGTTTCCGATTTTATATTTTCATTTTTTTCCGTTGCGCGTGAGCTGGAACTTATCTTCGTTAAACACCATATTATTTTCTGTAGACCATTGAAAGACCTGATTTACATCTGATTGCAGGTTTGCTGTGTCCTTTATTTTGTCTACTCTCATGAAAATCCTGGTGTAATCTGCAGAGGATGATACAGTACTATAGATTGTGTCCTTGTCTATATCTGATATGAGGATGAGAAAAAGTACTGGAGCAAGCACAGTACCCTGGGGGACTGAGCTCTTCTCTTCACTTCGCTGTATATATAATTACTGTATATGTAATTCACATGTTAATTGAAGTTACTAAACGATTTATGCTATAGACCTGCTTACTACCCATGTAAATTTAACCTTTTATCCTTCAAATATTTTATCTTGCCAGTGATAATAGGATATGTACATATTGCAAGAGAAACCAAAATTATGCATTCTTTTTTCTTTTTTCTTTTTTTAATTAGCTGCAGTAAGTAGATTTCAGATTAATGTATCATCAATATTGAATACTAAAATGTGCTCTAATGTCATTTTTTTAACTTTGCAGTTTTTGTTGAATAAAACAATGAAGATCTATGGCCATGTAGTTGTGATTATGCGAACGGGGGAAGATGGCACCCCATTCCCACTCACTTACACAAGTTGCACTATTGGCCGCAATCAGGACTGTGACATTAGAATCCACCTATCAACTGTGTCCAGACTTCACTGTAAGATTGATGTGGATTCTAAAGGAAAGGTGATTATATATTTTCGTTTACATTATAGTAAATTGTTATGTGCTCCAAATGTACTCGACCATCCCTTGTTGAATTCCTAAAACCTCTGACCAACATTCTGACCAGCTCTTTCATTGGGGAATTCTGGTAATCTTCATATGCAGACGATGAGTCACAATAACGTGACTGGTAATCTCCAGACCTTCTATAGTAGTCCTACCTATTATATACAATAAATTTTGTATATAATAGGTAGGACTTATTAGTTTTGTATATAATAGGTAGAATAATTTATACAAACTGCACGAGTCAATGATAAAGTTATGATTGTGTGCTTAACACTATCGGTCTCTTTGGACCGGACTCGCATTCATTATTTTTCTCCTGAATCCTAGCTTTGGACCGGACTTGCGTCCACTGCAAAAATATTTATATAAAATTCATTTTTTATCCAATCGACCTCGGGATGGTATCAAAATAAGCGCCTTTAGAATGCGCACAATTTTATACCAAAATGAAAGATGAAACTTGATGTCCAAACACTTGTATGATTAAAAATCGGTTTTTGGTCAAAATTTTAAAATATTTGTTAAAATTCTATTTATTGTGCTATTATGTTGGGACTAGTTTTAAAATGTGCGCCTATACGTTGCGTACAATTTGATACCAAAATGAAAGATGTAACACAAAAATTTGTCAGAAGACTGGAAAGATATAAATAATTATGATGAACTTCAAGAATTAAAATATTTGTTAAAATTCCAGTTATTGCTCTATTTTTATGAGACTAGTTTTAAAATACGTTCCTTTTTATTGCGAACAATTTTATACCAAAATGAAAGACGTAACACGAAAATTGATGTTATCAAACTGAACGAGTATACACATTAGGTTGCAGTGTACAAATTGGTGCTCATTTACGGGTAACTTTAGGCTTTCCTGCGGGGAGGCATGCCAGGCTTTTGTACATTATATTCATATACACCTGTAGGGAATTCATTTGTGAACACAATGATACCAAAACGAGCGACGTAGCACGAGAATTAAGGTGAGAAAACTGAAACGAGTGTAAACATTGTACTGATTTTGTGCGTTCATGGGTAACTTCCGACTTTAGGCTTTGCTGTGGGGAGTCTTGCCAGGCTATTGGACATTATATGCATATATATCTGCAGGGAATTTAATTGCGAACACAATGATACCAAAACGAATGACGTAGCACAAGAATTAAGGTGAGAAAACTGAAACGAGTATACACATTTAGGCGTCGCTGCACGCTCGCCCGCATCATTGGCCCCATGACGTCAAAGTTTGCTGAGCGCGCATGGCGCCGGCGATAGTGTTAATGTTTGTAGAAGGCTGTATGCTGAAATCTACTATACTTGTGTTTATTTCTTTTCAGGCATTTTTGACAAATCTGTCACAAGTGAGCCCAACAATATTAAACAAAATACCCATGGCTACAGAAGAAATTAGTGTATTAGAACACAGGGATATCATTACTGTCGAGGAACGAGAGTTTCGATGGGAGTACCCAGAAGGTTCTGTCTTTGCCAGTTCCTCCCGAAATGATCAACTAATGTACAAGATACTAACGCCCACAACCAAGTCACCAATCAGTCATCATAATGTAAATAGTGGTAAGCATAACACTTAAAATATTGCTACTGGTGAAATATTTTCACATTAGTTTTGATTAGAATTGTGTACAGTGTCTTTAAATAATTTTTTAAGCTTGAATTAGGATTTAAATTTTCAGATTCTAGTGGAATGAAACGCAAAGGGTTTGAGGCCATTATTCAAGAGTGTCCAGATGCCAAGAGGAAGAGAGTCTCTTTTGGCCCACAGCTCCATCCAGAACATTTTGATAAGCTACTACCTCCTGATACACCAATCAGTAAAGGGGAAAAGCCCAACACATTAACCTTGTTAAATATCTCTGAGAGTTCTCATTCGGCTGCTAGGAAGTCCAAGCGCATATCTCTTCCCCCACTTAATATAGCCATTGCAGAAGAAAGCGGAATAGATACTCCAACTAAGAGCCTTTTGCGGAGACGTAGTCCAACACCAGTGAAACCGTATATTGCTCGTAGTCTTGGTCTTCTTGTACCAAAGGTGCTTAATGATGGCTCGCCAAATGCCCAGAATGACAAGGATGGCTCGCCCAAACAAAAAGCATGTTCAGATCATAAACCTCTAACAAGAAGTTCCTTTGATTCTGTATCCGATATTGATGATTCTCCAAAAATGGCAAAGGAAAGAAGTTCTAAAGTACTGCCAACATTCCCAAGTACATGTAAAGTTGAGGATTCTGAACCTTCTAAAAAAGTAGTATTCAGAAATTCCCTCAGAAATTCAGATATATCCAGAAGTCTTCATCAAGTAACTACAACTATAAGTTCTCCCATGAGAGACATGGAATTAAAAGTTGCCTTAAGTAAGATAGAACTGCATAAAACAACCCCAAAAAGGGCAGAGTCATCTGAAGCCATTACTAATAAGGCAGATACATTAGAAGGAACCCCCAGTAGGGCACAGTCGCCTAAAGGAACCCTCAGTAGGGCACAGTCGCCTAAAGGAACCCCCAGTAGGGCACAGTCGCCTAAAGTAACCCCCAGTAGGGCACAGTCGCCTAAAGGAACCCCCAGTAGGGCGCAGTCGCCTAAAGGGACCCCCAGTAGGGCACAGTCGCCTAAAGGAACCCCCAGTAGGGCACAGTCGCCTAAAGGAACCCCCAGTAGGGCACAGTCGCCTAAAGGAACCCCCAGTAGGGCACAGTCGCCTAAAGGAACCCCCAGTAGGGCGCAGTCGCCTAAAGGAACCCCCAGTAGGGCGCAGTCGCCTAAAGGAACCCCCAGTAGGGCGCAGTCGCCTAAAGGAACCCCCAGTAGGGCGCAGTCGCCTAAAGGAACCCCCAGTAGGGCGCAGTCGCCTAAAGGAACCCCCAGTAGGGCGCAGTCGCCTAAAGGAACCCCCAGTAGGGCGCAGTCGCCTAAAGGAACCCCCAGTAGGGCGCAGTCGCCTAAAGGAACCCCCAGTAGGGCGCAGTCGCCTAAAGGAACCCCCAGTAGGGCGCAGTCGCCTAAAGGAACCCCCAGTAGGGCGCAGTCGCCTAAAGGAACCCCCAGTAGGGCGCAGTCGCCTAAAGGAACCCCCAGTAGGGCGCAGTCGCCTAAAGGAACCCCCAGTAGGGCGCAGTCGCCTAAAGGAACCCCCAGTAGGGCGCAGTCGCCTAAAGGAACCCCCAGTAGGGCGCAGTCGCCTAAAGGAACCCCCAGTAGGGCGCAGTCGCCTAAAGGAACCCCCAGTAGGGCGCAGTCGCCTAAAGGAACCCCCAGTAGGGCGCAGTCGCCTAAAGGTACCCCCAGTAGGGCGCAGTCGCCTAAAGGAATCCCCAGTAGGGCGCAGTCGCCTAAAGGAATCCCCAGTAGGGCGCAGTCGCCTAAAGGAATCCCCAGTAGGGCGCAGTCGCCTAAAGGAACCCCCAGTAGGGCGCAGTCGCCTAAAGGAACCCACGGTAGGGCGCAGTCGCCTAAAGGAACCCCCGGTAGGGCGCAGTCGCCTAGAGGAACCCCCGGCAGGGCACAGTCGCCTAGAGGAACCCCCAGTAGGGCACAGTCGCCTAAAGGAACCCCCAGTAGGGCGCAGTCGCCTAAAGGAACCCCCAGGAGGGCACAGTCGCCTAAAGGGTCCCCCAAGAGGGCACAGTCGCCTAATGGGTCCCCCAAGAGGGCACAGTCGCCTAAAGGGTCCCCCAAGAGGGCTCAGTCGCCTAAAGGGTCCCCCAAGAGGGCTCAGTCGCCTAAAGGGTCCCCCAAGAGGGCACAGTCGCCTAAAGGGTCCCCCAAGAGGGCTCAGTCGCCTAAAGGGTCCCCCAAGAGGGCACAGTCGCCTAAAGGGTCCCCCAAGAGGGCACAGTCGCCTAAAGGGTCCCCCAAGAGGGCACAGTCGCCTAAAGGGTCCCCCAAGAGGGCACAGTCGCCTAAAGGGTCCCCCAAGAGGGCACAGTCGCCTAAAGGGTCCCCCAAGAGGGCACAGTCGCCTAAAGGGTCCCCCAAGAGGGCACAGTCGCCTAAAGGGTCCCCCAAGAGGGCACAGTCGCCTAAAGGGTCCCCCAAGAGGGCACAGTCGCCTAAAGGGTCCCCCAAGAGGACGCAATCACCAAAAGGAGCCCCCAATTGGGCACGGTCGCCTAAAGGCACCCCCGGTAGGGCACAGACGCCTAAAGAAACTGCCAATAGGGCATGGTCACCTAAAGCTACTCCCAGAAGGGCAGATTTACCTGAATCTGATACAAAGATTGCAAAGCTTCTTAAAGATGCCCCTAAGAGAGTAAGATCTGGAGATACCCCCCAGAAAGTAGAATTACTCCAAGTTTCTCCCAAGAAAGGGAGATCTCCTAATAAGGTATTGTCATCAAAAGTTGCTTCCCTGAAATTATCAAGAAAAGAAGTGTGTGTTGTAGCATCACCATTGTCTCCGAAAAAGGTGGCATCACCACTGTCTCCCAAGGAAGTTGAATTGTCCACCTTAAAAAAGGTGGCATTGCTTTCAGCATCACATAACTCTCCCAAGAAGAGTGAATTGTCAGTGTCGTCTTCGAAGAAGCGTTCATCATTGAGAGTACAGCTTCAACATATAATATTGCCCAAAAATGCAAAGAGAAGCCTTCACCAGAGTCTTGTAAGCTCTCCATACAGTTCTTTGATCAATTCTCCGCAGGATAAGAAGAGAAAGGCAAGCTTAACCCCACTGCCCCATGTACTCAAGAGACTTAAAACTGGAGCTTCTACTCCAAATTCAGGTAAATATTACATTACATTAAATTTTCCAAATTATGGCCCTTATGATAGGAAAGTGAATGCTTGGTATTAAATAAGAAATATTTTTGGTTGTTCAGTTCCCCTAGCAAAATACAAACTTCTAAAAATTAGTGGAAGTAAAATTTTCTGGAGCTACAGAACAGCATTTGAGTTTGAACTGCCATAAGAATATAAATACAAAAAAAAATAAGAAAAGCACAGTATGCAAGATTTCTTAACTGACCAAACCAGTTTTTGGTGACTTGACCCTTGAGGATTACCCTTCAGCTGTGACCAGGGTTGCTTCATCGGTGGTGCGTACAGCAATCAGTAGTGCTTTAAGGTCTATCATAAGATTTAAAATGTGTGGATACATGGGGCTCATATCATCTTCCAATCTTAAGATCTCCAGTACACAAGACATGTTGGAAAAAATCCTGGGTGTAAGGACCTCAGTATTAACATGGCAATCATAGATAGTGATCCTGCTGATGACTTTCCCAAAGCGAGACACACAGCTGTTATTTTTTGCCTCAGTATATCATGGAATTTATTATATGTATTTTAGAAAATGAATGTGAAAGATTATTCATATTCAGGATTTAGTGACTATGATCATGACCTGCAATCATAAATCAGTAACATCGCCATATTTCCTCTCTCTCCATCACACTAAGTCCTTTCGCAAACAGTGGTAAACGGTTGGAACAAGTTAGGTGAAAAGGTGGAAGAGGCCAAAAAGTCTATTTCACAGCGTTATACGACAGTACCAGGAAGACGGGACACCACAAATGTAGCTCTCATCCTGTAATTACACCCAAAGTAACCTACATACAAACTGTTTTCCTTTAGTTTCCTGAGATCAGGGGAATACATTTTAACTATCTGAAAGAAAATATTTTTTCTGGGGTGAGCCCCATCAGCTATACCCACTGAAGCTATCTGAACTGATATATGCTATATTAGTTTGGGGTCCTCAGTCACTCCTCCAGTCCTCAAACGAGAAGTGATTCCCGAACACCTCAGGGAAGATAACCCTGGCCTACAAGGGCAGTACTCATGGAGCCCCCTTGGGAAGGTCACCGTAGTGCAAGCTGCTCCAGTACACTACTAGGACACTTGGCCACCACACCACACACAGCTGGAACAGCTACACAGGGCAAAAATTCATAAGAGGAGCTTGTGCTGGTGGCTAATCAGTCACCTCTGGCCTCATCAGTTCAAGAATTGGAGTGGTGGGCTGTTGGCTCCCCATACCCCTTAGGAGAGGGGGGGGATGCTAACAAGCAGGAGTGCTTGTTGGGTTTCTTTCTAGGGAAGGTATTTTGATCTTTTCAAATGTAGATTGCGCAGGTTAACCACACAGTGGTCCGTGTTGATTCACCTACCTTTCTAGGTCCTCCGGTAGATGGCAATTAGGACATACTGTATTTTAAATGTAAAGTGCTCATAGGCCATTGCTCTTTGCACCTCTCGGAGGTGGCCAGGTTTTGGTTCATGGTCCCTGGTAAGCCTGAGGACTCCTGTGTCTGAATATCCCAAGCTAATATAGCACACTTCAGTTCAGATAGCTTCGAGGAGCCAACAGGGCTTGCCCAGAAAATGGCGTTTCATTATATTCAACACTTTTATTATTATTATTACTACACACCACAGTTTGCACACAAAACAAGTGCTCAGTGCAAGGGTTAAACAAGTTTTATTTCCCACTAAAATTGTATTGGAATGTATTGTGGCTACATTCCACTAAAGTATGGAGTGTATGGCCACAAAGTTTCATTACCAATTCCCTCTTTTGGAGAGGGGCTTCTCTCTATATCTACTCAAACTTCTCACCTGTAGTCCTCCAAATTTAGGTACCACACGAGGCTCTATTGAATCGCAAGTGCCTACTGGAGATCATGACAAGAGTCTGGCCCCCTTAATAAAGGCATTGGGGAGTTAGCATACTTGATGAATCGCATGTAGTAGAAACCCTCCCCCCTTCTCCCTTTTGTACATTACAAATGAAAACACCCACCAGAGAGATAGTGCACTAAAAAAACAATTACTTAAGACATTTACAATTCCTATTCTGTAGACACTAGCTGTCTACACAGTTGTAAGTTAGCTCCACTTCCTCACCACCAGGTGGAACCTGGCAAACCGAGAGCCCCTGATCTCAGAACCCAAATCTTTACTGGGGACATATTATAAAGGAAAGCAGACAAAGCAGCAAACTTGTGGATGTCATGGGCTTGTGGGTATGCAGCAGGCTTAGGGCTAAATTTGACCACCCTTCAACCAACCCACAACCACCAGGCCTGAGAACAGGGAGTAAGGGTCACCAGGTTCACAAGCAAGGTGTCCATTCAAGTCTAAAGATAACAATGAACTGCCATCACTGTACACATAACATGAACCCCTGGCCAAACCAACTAAATACCAGTGTAAGGGCTATCGAAGATAGCCGTTTCATTTGGATTACTGCCATGATTCAGTACCCACAAACTCCTCTTGCCTCTATTGAAAGGGGCCAGATTTTTATTCTGGCTTTTGATAGATGTTACTGAATTATGAAAAGAGCCTGGTGTAGTACCCAAGGATTGGAAGTTTCCAAGTTGGTAACTTGGGAAGCCACAAGAGGAGCCCTCCCAGAAATTGTCATAGCCAAAGGGTTAAAATAAAGACAAAATATCTTGCTTAAAAGGGAGCTTTTCATCTGTACTCGAGCCTTGCATATAGCATTGGCCGAATATCAAACTGTATCGTATCAGCAGTGTATAGATTGAAGTACAATATTATATAGAGATTCTGCATTTTAGATGTCATTTTTGAACCCATGTGACCATACAGTTCCCATCCCAGTGAAAAGATAAAAGTGATCATAAAGATCACTTTTCTCTTTTCAAACTTGAAGGATATTTTTATGTAAAATCTTCAAAGAAATGTGTGTGCATGCATACCAGAGTAGACATCAAATTAGGGGTTATTGTTGATTAACTTGTCTTATAGCTTCTCTTAATTTGCAGTTCAAAAGATCAAGACTTCCAGTAGGAAAACTCCTGCAAAAATTGTGAAGAAAACGCCAAAGAAATCCTGGGCTGATGTATTGAAAAGGGGTCTTATGGCTAATGGTGTACCATGCTCTAGGATTCAGCGTTCTAACCAAGTGATGAGGAGAGCTAGAGGTGTTCGTGCCAACAAAAGATCTGCTTTTAAGTCAAAATTACCTACAACTGTGTTTGAAAAGGTAAGTCAAAGTCCTGGGTATATGGTTATTGACATACCCAAATAAAAAAATCTTACCAAGTTTTTGTTTTTAGCTACTCGTTAAAAGTATTATAAAATATTAATATGCCTTTAAATGCATGTTAAGAATAATTTGGTCCTATGTTTTCATCATTAACATGTAAAAACATGTTTTTGAGCTATCCCACTTATAACTCGTAAATAGACAGGGCCAGTTGACATTGTGATCTGGTGCTGCAAAGAATTTTTCAAGCATCTGCAGGAAGATATGTTGGGACTAGGCAGTCATTAGACAACATTCACTCCAGGTCAGAATCACCACCTGAAGGTTCACTTAAAAGGGGCTTATGAATTGTTACAAGTCATTGCAATGGGACACTCACTGTCAATGGGTGGTAACACCAAACATGGAAGGTTTCTCTGACCCGGTTTCTTGACATTCTTCTGGCTGCAAATTTCAGTTAAATGACTTGTTTCAGCCCTTGAAACTATTTTTAGTATGCAGTGGACTCGTACTTATTTACAGTATATTTGGTAAAGCTTTACATGTGTATTTGTTCAGCACAGGGTATGTTCAACTTTCAGGTCTTGAGTTTGAGTTCAGACATCCAGACATATGTCTTATTCTGGATGGGGATGAATGACCCTTCTCTTAAGTTTCTAGCATCTTGTCTTCCTGCCTCCTCAGGTGTCACTTGGGATAGCCTGGATAACTGCTATCATGTTCACTTTCAGGGTTGTGGTTGTTCTTATGGGGAGAGCATTGACCTCTGTTAACCCTTAAACTGCACAAAACCTCATATGATGTGACATTGAACTCAGTTTTTTAAATTTTCTGGCACTTTCAAATGTTTTGTGAATAATCTAGTAGACAATTGCTCTAACTTTGTCTAAATGATACCAGTGTAACTTGAAAAACAAGAAAATAAAAAATAATTATAAAATTGAATGTTGAAAACTTCAGATTTTGAAATCAGCTGCAAAAAAAAAAAAATATATAAAAATTTCACCAACTGTTCATTTAGTGTTGTTATGCTCTCAGAATAGCATATGATTTTCAGAATAGCATAATCATTTTCATATATTTAGAATATAGGTTTTCAGAATAGTTTACTGTAAAAAAAATTGTCAATGTGGCATTTGAAATATGCACAAATTTAGAAAACAAAAATTTATAATTCCAAACGTTGAGTTTATGAAAAATTAATTCTATAGGGATTGTAGAACAGACAGCTGTGCACACTATGTAAAAATGGTGAGAATCGGTCAGAAACTAGAGTTTTGGATACTGAAGTAAGTTGAAATTCTAGTTATAGATATAACTGAAGTTGAAGTTATCGACAATATACAAAGCAGTTCTAATTCGTGAATTTACCTGTATGTAGTAATAAACATTGTTTGGCATTCGTACTCAAGTATGTGAAAGTTGTAGGGCAATGTGTGTAGAAATGAAGTCGAGAAAAAGTAACCCCTCCAAAAAAAAAAACATAGATACCTATAATTGTGATAATTATAATAATTTAGGGTATACTTATATAAGTAAAAAAAAAGCCCTAATCTGGTCTCTAATCATGAAAACAACCTAAAGAAACAAGGAAAGTAGAGTTTGAAATCTGAAAATATCAGCCCCCCCCCCCCCAAATCCTAGTTCTGAGAGTTGTAACTGATTTATTTGTTAACCAATTTAATTCTGGCTTGACATAGTTAGGGACGAGTATCCATTCTCCAGGATGTAAAGGTTAAAACAAATTCAAATAATAAATAAAGGAGGAAAAACTAAAGGCCTAAAAAAAATCCCATTGTTGAAAGTAACTGATTATAACATTGGGCAATGTATTTATATGATATATAACAAAATAGAGCATAATAACATAATAGTTCATTGTTGTGTTATTATGTATTACTCACCAATGCTATAAAGGCACCAGCTGTGTATCCACTCTGTGGACACTTCTTACTACTTTTCTTCTTTGTGCGTCGGACAGGTGCTTGCATCTCTTTATTATTGCATTATCCATCAGTTTCAGTTAATAGGAGCTGTTAGACAGAGATATCACTAACGTGATGCATCAAATGAACAAATCCGCAAGGGCCGTAACGAGGATTCGAACCTGCGTCCATGAGCATCCCAGACACTGCCTTAATCGACTTAAACGAATCCTCGTCACGGCCCTTGTGGATTTGTTCATTTAATAGGAACTGTTCTTTTTTTTTTTAATATTTGTCTAAAATAAATTTCTGAAAATATTTTGATGTTTCACAAAGCTGAAGCCAATAAGTTGGAGATTTAATATTTTTAGGTAATTTTTACATAATTTGAATATTTTTCAAATTATACCCCCCCTTCAATGTCACACCTGACGTTTTGATGTTTTGCGCAGTTTGAGGGTTAAAGATTTTTCTCTGCGAGTGCTTCTAATCTCTTTGGGAAGACTTCGTTTTCTGACTTCATCACTAGCAGGTTTTAACTTTTTAAGCCTTTATTATGATAGACAGAAGTATTAGCCTAAAGGTAGTTTGTAGTTCATAAAAACAAAAGCTTGTATTTCTTGTAACATTCGTCTAGACATATGTTCTTCAGAACAGGCATTTGTGGCCTTAAGATTGGAAAAATGTCACTACCTAGCTGTTGTTCGTTCTGGGGATCAACATACCAGTGGCCTGGTCTTTGATCTGGCTTCCTGGTTGGTGGTTTGGTCAACCAACCTGTTGAATGCAGCTGCTCGCAGCCTGGTTGATCGAAAAAAATTTTGAGCTGTTTATCAAGTTCTTAATTCACATTAGATGACGATGGAACATTTCTTGAGCAGTGCTTCACTGATAACCTCTGTCTGCAACGCTATAAATGCTTCATTAACGTACTTCAAATATAAATACTTGCTAGCCAAACCTATGCCTATGCACATAGAACTTTAATATACAGTATTATAATATCAATATATAAATGAGAATAACCCTGTTTTTATTACATAATGTTAAAATTCATGAATGCATCCTAGGGGAACAGCTGCAGCTTCAACAAGGATGGGTCAAGGATGGGTTGATAGCGAATTGAAAAGTCTTGGGCCCCTTTCAATGGCTTTGGGTTTCCTTCTTCCTAGCTGAATGACTGATAGATCACAACTGGGAACCGAGTAGCTGGGTTTGTAGCCACCTGGCAGCATGCAGGTTAACTAGTGAGTGAACTGGTTCACAAAGTGGTTTGCCTCTTGTGTCTGGTATTTAATGTTTTGTTTACTTTACCTTGCATATTGTCTGTATTCTCGCTCACCTTTCTGGTGGCATTTTCTTGGTCTGAATGATCTAGTATTCTGGAGCTCCCTGTGCAGCTTTAGAGGGGGCTGGGTTTTGGCCTCTGGTCCCCTGGTAGGTTTACCATGGATTGAAGTTGACAGGGCTCTTCCAAGGAGCCTCCAGAAAGGAGCATTTCATTAGATTCATTAAATTACATCCAAGTGAAACTTGTGAGATTGCTTAGTATTAGTACTAAGTTACAAAACGAATGAAGTTGGAGCTAGCTATTTTCTAGAGCCGTCATATGGCTCATCACTAAAACATTATCCAAATACGAGTTGGCCTGTTAATAAATGCAGTAATTGCAGATAGAATTATGTTCTTGAGAATGGTACTGGCAACATGAGGCTCATCATGGCGAGTGCCTTGTGTTTCAGTTGACAATCTTCATGAAAATATTTCTCATTTGTATATGGTAGCTCTTTCACAATGCTAAAAGAACTGCATACATCAAGTTTGACGTACCCATTTATGTACACTACGGCTACACACCTAATATTTAATTATGGATAATTTGTTTTAATATTGGGAATATATTTTGAAATGATGTTAGGAGGATTATGCAGATGAGGAGTCACAATAACGTGGCTGAAATATATTGACCAAACCACACAATAAAAGTGAAGGGACGACAACGTTTCAGTCCGTCCTGGGCCATTCTCATTCGACTTGAGAATGGTCCAGGACGGACCGAAACGTCGTCGTCCCTTCACTTTCTAATGTGGATTGGTCAACAATAGAAGGATTATATCCAGTCAAGGGGGGTTGTCCACATATTGTTGGAAAGAGGCTCTTTATAATCAGAATTTGTAAACGGTTAGATAAACTAATAACAGAAGTAAGATTTTTACCTGCTGCCAAGGCATTTAATTATTTAATTAATGAAGTGAATAATCATGTTAATATTGGTATTCTTTGTTTTTCAGGAGATTCCCAAAAAGTTTGAATTTGGCCAGACTACTGGGCATGCTAATTCCCCTGCTTCAATATTCATCCATAAGAAAACTTGTAAAACTCCCAAAGTATTCCGAAAGGGTCGCAAGAGTCCCCTAAAAGCCGTTTTTGCCACATCATCTTCTGGAAAATATGATAACCTGGAAGGACTCGGAGAGCTTCTTGCTACACCAACGGCAAACAGGAGAGAGAGAGAGAATTCTCCAGTTATTAAAGAAAATTCTTCTATGAAAGAAGATACTCCTCAAAGTGCAAGTAGAAAACTTAGCTCAAAAACGCCTTCTCCAATGAAAACACCTGCTGAAAGTTCAAATGAAGAATTGATGGAATCTTTAGGTACTTCACCTGCCCTCTTCTCTCCTGCCACACCATCAACATCAAAAAGTGTTCGTTGTTCTATCGGGAACAGATATTTGTCACAAATCAGTCACTCGGCATCCTATATTAACATGACCAATTTTGATTTTTCATCAATAAAAACTCCGGATGTTACAGAGGATAATTTTATATCCCCACTTGTAACTCCAGCCACTTCCAATAAGACTCCAGAGCACTTGATTAGACGTTCTACAGAAAAGTCATTTATGGCATCGCCAGTGGACATACACTTAGAAACTGATGCTACTACTTTTGACTTTGAAAATGCTCGTACGCCTGATGTTTCACAGCTTGATTTTGTTTCTCCGGTGAGTACAAGATCTAAGAATTCATCTCGGGTTACTGAATATGACAGTGTTGTAGGGAGAAAATCCCTGTTATCAACCCCTAAGCCTATTGGACAGTTTTGTAAAGGTTTGCCAACTGACGAACATGGGATAAAGAGATTGCTTCGCACACCAAGAGCTGTGGCTTCTACACCTAAAGTTATTGCTACTGTAAAAAATATATGCAAAACATCTCTTAAGGGAGAAGAGTATAGTAAAATCAAAATTCCTAGCGAGGTAAAAACAGATCATTTTGTACCTGAAAGAAATGATTTCAAGAGAATTGCAATACCTTTTATGGACAACGTTGAAGCAAATGATAGAGGAATGCAATTAAGAGTTCAAGAGCAAACACCAAAGAGTCCTCAGGGTGATGAAAATGTTATGAATAAATCTAAGCAATCTCCTAATGTTTATGCTGCAGGGAATCTTAAAGGTAATTATACAGATGGTGTTAAATTTATGAGAACACCAAAAACTGCATCTCCCGATTCTAATAATCCTAAGAATGTCGATTCTGCTAATATAAGGAAGATACTTCAGCATCCAGAACCAGTGCAAGACTCAAAAGCTGATTATACTGATGTTCGTGGTGTCCGGAAACTAATGAAGACTCCTAAAGCAGCTGGTTCAATTGATAATGCAGATGAAGCTCACATAATTGCAATTAGAAGGATTCTTCGCACTCCAAAGTCAGTGTCTGATAGCCCTAAAGCTGATTATTCGAAGGTTGCTGGTGTAAGGGCACTTTTAAAGACACCTAATACAACTGCTCAAGGCAGTCCAAAAGCTGATTACACAGATGTTAGGGGTGTTAAAAAGCTAATGAAAACTCCAAAGGCAGCTGTTCCAGATGATACTGATGAGACACTTACTGCAATAAGGGAGATACTTTGCACTCCAAAACGAGCACAAGGTATCCAAAATTCTGACTGTTCAGATGTCGGTTTTAAAAATCAAATAAAAACTCCTATAACTACTAATCTAGACCCAACTATAGAATACAGCAATATTGCTGGACTTGACAGATTAAATATATGTCTAAAGCAAATACAGGTATCCAGTGAAAAAGATTCTGCACCTGAATGTAGTAATTTTCAAGTCCCTCAGAAACTTTTCAGAACTCCAAGCAGCAGCTCAGAAAGCAAAGAACCTATAGCTGACTATTCTGAGCCTAAAGGGTTAAAGAAACTGCTTGCTACACCCAGACAAAAGAAATGCAGTCCATTCTCAGATTATACAAATGTTGCAGGTATGAAAAAACTACTTAGCACACCACATACTCCTTTTAATTCTCCTGAAGCAGATTATACAAATGTCCGTGGCTTGCGGGCATTAATGAGAACCCCGAAAGTTAAAGATAATTCTCTTGAAATAGATCTTGAAGGGTTAAGTCAGCTAATGACAACACCTCTCTCAGACCATACTAATATGGTAAAGAAAATTGTAGAACTGGTGCAGCATTCTTCCACTCCTGAGTCTTCAAGAAAACTGCATAGCTCTCTAAAAGTTAGCCCAGCTACAAGTTCTCCTTCTGAAAACATACCACCAGTAGAAGATGTAAATAATCATGCAAAAAATGAAGATGGTACACCTCGTAGATCTCAAAGAAATGCCAGAGCCAAGAAACCAGAGGTTACAGAACCAGTAAGGCGTGGACGATCTCGAAAGGGTGGAAAGAACGAGACCATATTTCAAAGCCATGCAGTAGAGTTCACACTGGAGCAGATTGAATCATCGCCTGTTGTACCAGAACGTAGTTTACGATCTAGAAGAAAAGTTAATACAGTTGATAAGCAAGTGTTAACTAAGAAAAAATCCAGGAAGGGTAAAATGACATCTGAAGAGGAAATCCACAATTCCAGCATAGAAAGCAAACCATATGAAACAAGTCCTCTGGTTGTGGAAAATAGAGTTGATGCCAAGTCATTGGAAGCAATAGATACAGCAGGAAACACACAAGAAAGACAAACTATATCTTCCTCAGAAATTAATAATACTTCTGGGAAGGTGAGCCCTCGTACTTCAACTACATTACCAGTCAGAAAAAGACGTAACCAAAAGAAAGCTGAATTGGAGGTACCTATAGCATCTCAGAGTAAAAGAAGAAAAACAAAAATTGAAGTGACAGAAGAATTTTCCCAAATATCTTCACCAGTGTTGGAGAATTCTGTAAGCAGCATGTCATCAGGTAAAACAAAAGCAGATAAATGTGAATCTACACCAGTACGAAGAGGCCGTGGGCGAAAGAATGTCAAAGAAACTGGCAATTCTAGTTCAAATAGTACTAGTAATTTCAAATATACTGATGAGCTGAAAATTAACCAAGTGGCCAATGTGGAAAATATTGATCTAACACCCTCCAGAACTAGAAAAACTAGAGCACAGCTCTTACTTAATGTTGTACAAGACAAGTCAGATGTGTGTTGCGAAATCCGAGAAGATGGAGTATCCACGATGAAACAAGAAGAGTTTTGTAACAAAGAAGACACACAAACAAGCACACCAGTTCGTAGAGGCCGTGGTAGAAAAAAGGCTTTAGAAACTGAGGACTCGAGTACAAGTAGTTCTAGTAAAGCAACTCATTCCAAACATACTAATGAGTTGAAAATAAATTCAGTGGCCAGTGCAGAAAATATTGATCTTACACCCTCAAGAATTAGAACTAGAAAAACTAGAGCACAACAGACTGAAGTTCAAGAAGAAGCAGCCCCCAAGAAAAGTAGAAGAGGTAGACTTCAAAAAAAGGAGGAAAGTGAAATTGAACAACCAATGGCCAAGGTGGGAAAAAATGTTATTAAAAAGACAGTCACTGTGGAAGATGTAAATGAAAATACATTTGAAGAACAGGCAATTCGAATTACTCGCCGTGGGCGTACTCGTGTCGAAGATAATCCAGAGGAATCTGTACCAGTAACAAGAAGGAAAAAGGGTAATGTCAAATTAGAAAGCAAGGTTGAAGAACAAAATTTGGATTCCGAGATATTTCCTGAATCCAAAAAGAATGAGAGTAAATCAAAGAAAAGGGAAGTCGAACCTGAAGTGATCGCACCCAAAACAAGAAGTACGCGAAACAAGAAAGAAAGCAAAGTTTCAGTAGACAAGCCTTCTCAGAAACGAAAAGCAGATTCAGCAGTGGAAGAGTAAGTGTTTCAATATTTTCAAAGTCACATCGTTGGGATTATTTTATGTAAACCATATTTAGAGGAAAATAGGGAGTAGTGGTGTGTTTACATTGTAAGATAATTAAGAAATCTATAGATATGTGGCCATAGTGAGTTAATCTCAACATGAAATGAAAGTTAGTAAAAGTTATTTGAGGAAAACAAAGGTAGGTCAAGCTAGAGAGGTACATTTCCATAAGTGGTAGGAACTCGTGAGAAGCACTTCACACCTAGTCTTGAAATGTTATGCTGCTGTAAATTATTTGCTAGTGTGTGAAAAGTGGTGTAATTACCCAAGTGTAGTTACAGGATGAGAGGTATGCTCGTGGTGTCCCATCTTCCCAGTACGTGTACTCTTCCCATATAACACTGAAACTACTGACAGTTTAGCCTCCACCACCTTCTCACTTAGCTTGTTCCGTCCGTCTACCACTACTTGCAAAAGAAAACATTCTGATGTTTTATCGGCACCTTTCTTTAGTTTGAATCTGTGTCCACTTGTTCGTGGTGTTGCTGGTTTAAGGAATTCCTCCTTGTCAATTTGGTCCGTTCTTATTAGAATTTTGTATGCGATGATCATATCACCATATAAAATAATTGCAACCAGGAGTGCTACTGTCTTCACAAGGATCCCGAAGCACAAATGGGGTTTCACACAATTCCCCCACGTGAGGGGGGGGTAATTGGGTTCACGGCCCTTGTGGATTTGTTCATTTGATATATCGTGCTATTGTGATTTCTATGTGTATTAGAAAGCTGAGAGTGGTAGCCTGTTGGAACAAGTTAAGTAAAAAAGGTGGCTAAAGCCAAAACCTTCAATAGTTTCAAAGCGTTATATGACGAAGGTACAGGGAAGTGTAGCTCTCATCCTGTAATTGCACAATAGGTGTGAGTACACATACAGTATACATATCTATATATACTGACACTCCTGTCTCCTACCCAGGACACCCCAACATCCTAAATAATGGCTTTTGGTCCATATGATGCTGCTCCTGTAAATTCCTGCCCAAACTCATTCATATACAGTACAGTATATGAGTGAGTTTGGACGGATATAAACAGGAGTTGCCTCATATTGTCTAATACGCATTCTGCAGGCCCTTTAGTTATTATTGATTCATAATAAATACATGGTTTCATTCATGGATACATATAAATGAATGTTTGTATGTATCAATAAGAACTAGGGATTGCAGTAGGTCTACTGGCCCATATGAAGCAACAGCTCCTGTTTATATCTATCCATAATCATTCATACATGGGTTTATTCACCCATACGAGGATAAAAATAGGAGTTGCCTTGTATGGATCCATAGATCTTCTGCAGTCCCCTTAGTCCTCATGTTCTTACTGATATGTATATAGTGTACCTACAGTGGCATGTGGCAGAGGACTCCAGTGGTAACTTTGTATGTGTGTATGCTTGTTTCTTCACATTTTTAGTTCATTGTGTTGAATAACTAGATTACTGTACATGTAATTTACAAAAACAGTACAGTTGTCTGTACTGTTCCCTTTTTCACAAGTACCCATTATGACTTTCTAGCAAAGCTTTTCCAGGATAACATGTCTTATTTCCTTTTGCTTTCATATACCTTTGTACATTAATAGTTCTTGACCTCCAGCTTTTGTGTTAAGATTTAAAGGACACAAAAAGAGCCCTCATCTCACCTCTTAGGACAAGTGATGGGTGGCTATCTAGTATTTTGATATTCACAGCTGTTTAATGTCCATCTTATGCTTAGATTGTAGAAATTAAATTTCTCCATAAAGTATCAAATCTTAAAATGTTCACTATCAACAGGGTGGAAACTACACCAGTCACAAGGTCAAGACGTAACAACACAGAAGAGGAATCATATAAAGAGTAAGTGATTGTGTAGTTTTAAATTTGTCAGGAGATGGCAAAATTGCACACACAAATAAAATGTGTGTAATTACACAAGTGTAGTTAAAGGATGAGCTATGCTCATGGTGTTCCATCTTCCCAGCACTTTTTATAACGCTTTGAAATTACTAACAGTTTTGGCCTCCACCTTCTCGCCTAACTTGCTCTAACCGTCTACCACTGTGAAAGTGAATTTTCTTATATTTTTTGGCAGCTTTGTTTTATTTAGTTTAAATCTATGACTACTTGTTCTTGAAGTTCCAGGTCTCTGGAAATCTTTCGTATCCATTTTATTGATTCCTGTTACTATTTTGTATGTAATGATCATATCGCCTCTTTTTCTTTTATCTTCTAGAATTCTTTAAAAGTTTCTCACATAATCTACAGGCTGTGTGGGGTCAATATTCTCCTATTCCACATTCCATAACATGGCATTTATTCACAATTAATTCCATTTGCCACTCGTCAATCTGTGCATTCTTGTAATAAAAATTTAGTACAGGTATTAGAAGTGTTATCTTATTATGTAAAATAAGATTACATCAGACAGGTAATTAATTTTTCATTTTTCAGGATGACAAGAAGAACCCGAGCTCGCAAGTAAATGCCCACATGATAGTACAATGCTCATTTGAAGTACCTGGCTCCTTATCTATTTGTTAGCCATTTTGGATTCATGTGTATGAATTCCACTTTCTATACTTTATACACTTGTATATCTACCATATTTTTATTGTGGACCTAATAGTTTTTCTTATAAGTACGGCTTGAATGTTAAGAATAAATAGTTTTAGTGAAATTTAGGTGAACAAATGTTGTCATAGGGACAAGTAAAACAACCTGATTTTAAGATATATTATTCAAAAAGTTGTGAAAGCTTTCTGGCGACCAGAGTTTTGATATTAAGTGGTGTTCAGAATGTTTTATCTTGACCAATCTGTTCTCCTTTTAGGTCCATGCATTTTTTTACTCTTGTATGAGGTAATTACAATTTGATTGTTGTGCAAGATCACCTGGTATAGTAGTACATTTTAAGATTCTTGACTAATAATAATGTCAAAACATAAAAAAATTCATGCATGTAAATAGCAAACAAATTCTTTACTTAAACGTGTTTTATTATCATGGAAAGGTAAATTGTCTGTAAGAACTAATACCACCAAGAGTTTCACTTTTTGTCATGGTGAGAGGGGGAGGGTGCTCATACTACTCCCTGGGGATCAGTGGGGGTGTTTCTGCTCCGTACCCAGCAGATGTACGTGTAAAATAAAACAAAAATAGAACACTTGTCTGAGTTACTGAACCACCCACTGAAGGGGTTGCCCTTGGAGGTTGGGTGTCCAGACTGGGGAAGAGGGAGAAGGCAGTCTTTTTGCTGGTGTGGGAGAATGTAAGATGCAGTAGGCCTGCCTTGTTAAAAAGGGGGGTCACCACTAGGGCCAACACATCCCTTCTTGCACTGGCCAGTGTTCGGCCTTCCTCACATTATGTATGGAAAATGAAGCGACTTTCCAAACAGGCTTATGGGGTCAATGCATAAAACTGCTGAGTCAGACAGTGATGGACGATCAGGCTCTTGTCACCCCAGGCCCAGCTAAATTTTTTTTTTCTTTTTTACCCATTTTATCCTCTTTGGGCTCATCCCTGCCAAGAAAGTGGGAGAACAGAGTCCCCAGTGGTTACTACCTCATCACCTAGAGTGGCTCCATCTTTAACCCTTCTACTGTTCACAGCAACCACGGTCGTTTTATCAGTGGAGTGTAAATTGACAATAGATTTAAAGCTCCAGTGGGCACATAGGGTTCACATCCATTTCTTCAGGATTCCAGTAAATGGATGCCATCTTGGTGTAATGATGAAGGGGGAAAAGTAAGAATGGAATGTGAGAAAGGTAGGGTGGTGTGTGTGAACAGCCTAAATAGGCGAGATAAAGAAGAAAAAGTGAAGAGGGGTAGTAGTGATAGATGATAGTGGTGGGAAGGGATAAAAAGTAAAAGGGTTGGCATGTCCACTGTTGTATCATCTACGTAATATACTCTTAATAACTACATCCTCGCTACCAGTATATCATGAAATAGAACTTCGTTCGCCCTTTCAGTGAACACCCATGGCTTATTTCACAGGATGGAAGAGTTGGCACACTGTACAAGAGCACTGAATATGCAACAAGGATAAATTAACTTAATGTGTTGACTGGCATTTAATAGATTAATAATAACCTATTCCAGGCCCTAAGAAGTGAAACAATTGGGGATTCACAAACATACAACTCTGAAATAAGTACCTTGACCTGCCAAGATGGGACAGCCAGCTGTTCCTCTGTCTAATGTAATTTCTGCCAAAGCCACACTTGTCACAACCTAACAAACTCAAAGATGTTACCATGAGGCTCTACCTCATTTGGCATGAGGTTGCAGTTTCCTATGGGAAATGCCCTGATGGAACTGGACACCTTATCACTGAAAAAAATCAGATCTTTACTCACATTTGAAGTGGAGGAGCCAGCCTGGGGGGGGGAGATTGCTGTGGCCACTGGTAGTAGATAACATGACCTGACTAGACAGGCAAGGTGATGTTACATGAAAGATCAGTTCACCAGAAGTCATTCTTTTTCAAACAACTATGTGACCCCCATTCAGCCTGGGGGCAGTCTGTTCAAAGAGGTCTCTCCAAGTTCGAGGAGTCACTTGCCAAGGAATCGGAGGCAAAGAGACAGAAGGGAAGCCGGTAGCCAGGAAGACAGACCAGAATCGGACTTCGTTTGTGTTTGGTGTGGGATGGACTGCCACTCTCGGATTGGCCTCATCAGTCACACCAGACGCTGCACCAGGATTGACAACTAGGGCGCAACTCCATAGTCTCCCGAGACTGAAGGATGCCTACTATGTGACCCCATCTTGGAAATGTGACAACTAGGAGGGAAGGAGGTAAAACTTGAGGCCTGTTACACCGGAAAAAGATATCTTGGGCAACCCACCTGGGTGAGGGCCTCGTTATTGAGAGGGCAACCACAGGTAATGTATACTGCTTTAGCTACACAGAACTGCTGTGCAGCTTGTGCCCACTGCATCACTTAATAACGATGAAATAAATTAATCACAAAATAATTGCAATTAGTGTCATAGAAGATCCTGTTGTATAGCATGTATATTTGTATACGGTTCACACAGTGAATGCAATGTTTGTTATGTTCACAGCAGTTCTGTGCATCTATGCGTGATGTAATGAGACTTTGTATTCCTTTAGAAATTAAATTTGTGGAAAGTGATTCATATTCATGATTTGATGACAGAAATCTGATGATAATGGCAGTTGTGACTATACTTCACAATGTATGTAGCTCTGTTGTCAGGTGATGTCTGCTTGTAAAGTGTGGCTCTGTGCTGTGCTTGGATTTCATTACCACACCCACCAGAATTGCTTAGTCATGTGTTGTACATAAAAATGTAGTGATGTATGTACTATAATGTAATAACAGCAACAACTTTTTTTTTTTATTGATTAAAGAATATAACAGTGTGCATATTAGTGTCAAATAAATGTGTACTTAGAACCTACATGTTCTGTGATACATATAACATTGACGTCCCAGTGCATCACTGCACTTGGAAAAAAAGCAATAACAATATGAAGAAAATAAAATATGGTCAATGCATGTACTTAAAACTTGGTGCTAGGCCGACCTTGGATTGTGTTTGGGGATTATCACCCTCACCAGGCCTGTTTCTAGTGGCTCCATATGGTGCATAAACATGTATTGTTATATATAGAACATGGATAGTGTAATAAAAACAAAATCTGTATGTTTTATTGTTCAAAGAATATAACATTGTGTGCATATTGATAAATAAATCTATATAACTATGATCTACCTGTTCTGTGATGCTAATAACTGACAACTTAATGCCTTGGGAAAAAAGCTGGTAATATTTTTCACATTGCTAGCCAGCTTGAAGAGCCCAGCAAGTTTAGTCGGGAATGTGTGGTGCTGAACTGCCAAGTGTTAACAATCAGCGAGTGATAACAATAAATAGTGTTTTGATGGCGATTGTAGAATAAAGGATGAAAGTACAAAACACTTGGTCAAATTATCTTTTTGAAGGATGCCATGGGTCAAAACATTAGTCCATAAATGTTTTACATTGTAACCATGTCTATCTGACTATCTGAATATTCTGATAAAATCTTATCCAGGCATATTTCTCATGTGGGTTAACCCCTGCACTGTTCACTTGTTTAGCTGACAAGCCCCAGATGCTCAAGAACAAATAAATTCAAAAGAAATAGATTTCTTTCTAATCTTATTAAAATATGAAAAAAAAAATTGTTACTACTGTATACTAACTTTGGCCATGGTAGAGCTGGAAAATATGGCAATTAACTATACCAGGTTGACTAATAAGTTATTGGCACCAATTATAATATAAAATATGGTGCCAGATATGTTTAATACAGTATTTCTAGAATGAAGTCTTTGTCAAACAGAACACCTATCATAAAAATGTTTGCACTACATATAGTGCAGCTTGAGAGAAATGGCTTGATGCATTCTGGGAGGCTGAGCCAAACACTACACATATTCATATAATGCCTTTTAACTTTTACAATCCATAGTGTCAATACATATACTGTATTTATAATTTTTACAAATGTGTTTCCTCACTTTAATTTTATTTTTTGTGTGAGCGTGCAAATGGTAAAACTATTTAGTTTTTTATATGGTATGAATCCACCCTGAAGGAGTTACTAACCCAGTGGCAGTAAGGCATCTATGATAGCCACTTATTAATCACAACAAATTATGAAAAAATAAAACGTATGCTATTTAATTCAGCTTTTCAAATCAAGAACAATATATGTTAAAAGGCCATAATTTTGCAGTTACTTTAATCAAAAGATAAATCTGTTTCTCAAAACAACAAGGCAAGAAGCAAAGAAAAATACTAACCCAAGAAATATCAGTAATTTGTCTGTATTCTCCCTTCGCCCATATTTATTTAGAATTTTCCTTCCTTGACTAATAACGGATCCCATGGTCTTGAGCTCCTCTTGGGTTGTTCCAATAGTTTGTGATCCTTCCACTGAAAACATTTGGAAACACTTAAAACTTTAAATATTGTAAAATATTTTGTAATACTAACTTCTGGTACTCATGAATGATATCTCGTGCACCATATCTTCCCTCTCCATGATTATCATAACATACCTTAAACCCCTGAATATTTTATTTATTGCTCATTGCAATCTGAGTAATACCTAGTGGTAATTAGTACTGTATCCAGCAATGACACTAGTTAATTGAGCAATAACAAACTTCTCTTGTAGATGATACATTGTTCTGCTTTGTATGAAAGGAAGCAGTTGCTCTCATCTGTGATAAGACCATTTGCAAAGTTACTTATCAAGATAGGTGGATTAATGTCCTTGATCAGAAAACTTACCTAGTTTATCAACAGTAGTGCGGCTCTTTTCTGTATTGTCTCTTATCAACCGTGTTACAGTGAGCAGATCATCCGAAAGTTGGGAAGACTTCTTCATTAACATTTCTCTGCTCATTCGGTCTCGTTGACGAATACCAGCTTCGCCCTCTTCACTCAGCTCAGTGTTGGTAAAGAGTTCATCTTTACTTCGCTGTAAATTTTAAAATGTCTGTTCAGTAAAACTGTAGTATCTAGAAATAATCTTTTGAACCTTAAAATATTTTAATGTTACCACTATTAGGGAAAATAATAGTATAAAAGTAAAAATGTAATAAATAATGTGAAAATAATGATGTAACCTGATTAATGGCAAGCTGAGAGGCAAGGAGAGCATTTCGAAAGGCTCTGTGGTTGTCCTGAAGCATTTTGTCACTCTTGGCAGCTTCCTCGGCCAGTGCAATACGATCCACTTCACTATCTTGTTCCTTAAACAAAATGGAGGGACATGCATATTTTGGGTAAGTACAGGTAAACATATTACGTGCAGCAGGTGCCTATATTTTCTTATTGTCTTTCGAGAATTGTAGAATTAACTTAATCTCTTAAATTTAATTTGTTTCAATACTATTCTAACTGTGGTCTCAAAAATGCTGTTAATACTGTATTATTATACATGATTTACAGACTAGTCTTAATATATTGTGAAACTATAATTTTGTCTCAATATTAGGTGAACATCTTAAAAAATACTGTTATTTATATAGAGTATAGAATACATACTGAGTATATTGTGTGTATTTATATATTTATGTATACTGTACATACAGTGGACCTTTAAATAATTATAATTATATTATAAATACATCATAATATTTTAATTTATACAATACAGTATGCTTTTTTGCATAATGTGATTTTCATTTTGTGACCATTAATTTAAACTGAACACACTTGTATTACGTTCACATTATGCTCGCCTGTCTCACTGAGCAGATAAGGCCAATGACCACCACCACTTTGTTTTCTCTACAATCGTAATGACACTCCCACAATCCTCCCACATGCACCCATTCTATCCACATCCCCACCCACTCACAACCAACCCACTGTCATGTAATGACCATAAAAGAACTGAAAGAGGAATTGAGAAGTAGCAGCAAACTAATAACAGACATCAGGGCTGAAGGAGATCAACTGAAATTAGAGAACCAAGGCAGGGAAGTGAGTGTTAATGAGCTGAAGAAAAAGTTAAAGGTAGTAGTATAGGAAGGTAAAAATGCAAAGGATTCGGCTAGAGAAGCAACAGAATGATTACCAAAAAGTGGAGAAAGCGATGAAACAATGAGGGTCACGTGCCAAAAGAACTTTTCCAGAAGTAGCCAAAAAAATAGAGGCAAGGCAAATAGTAAAAGAGGCTATCAGATCAAAGCAGGTAGTGTATTACAATAAACAATAATTAGAAAGTGAGGCTATCAATTATTATAAACAATCTGACCAGAACCAGAGGAAGCCATATGACAAGGAGAAGATGGAGACTGGGAAGAGTTAAAGGGATCCTAGACAAAGTGTAGGCAACCCAAAAAATATAAAACTTTTTAGGATAGGGAGGGACAACAAAGACCAGTGTGGGATTACCTTCCAAAGAAGTCTTTAACGGAAGTATATATTGGCAAAGAGAAGAGAAGATTATGGGATAGGGGGAAGATACACCCAGGTGGTCATTGTTCAGGACATGAGTAAGGAAGCTAAGAGAAATAGAAAGAGGGAGAGGAAATGGAGTTGGGAGGGAACACATTCTCCCAAGTGCTTCAATAGGAGACTGAAATAGAAGGGAGGTTCCAGAGCGGAAAGATAATCAGTCGCAACAAGAAATTGGGCCTAATCACACTGGTGAGGAAAGAGCCCAGAGGAACAAGTGCAAGTCTAGACGAATACAGTACTCACAGATGCCATCCTCAGAAATGAGACTAGACTAGGGAAGGAAGAGTAGCCCTACTAATACAAGAACATCAGAGCTTTGAAAAGATAGATATCTCAGAGATAATCAACCAGAAGGATTTTATACTAGGTAAAATAATTGTGGAGGACCAAGAAGAGAGTGTTAGGTGTTATTTACAACCCTCTATTAATTACAGGAAGGTCAAGGGAGGAATATGATAAATGAATTGAAACATGCTAGAATAGAAAAGGCAGCCATAGTGGTAAGGAGAACCGGAGCAAAGATCCTAATACTGGGGGATTTTAACTACAGGGAAATAGACTAGTTAACAAAGGATCCTCATGGAGATTGATATTTGTGGACACTACAGATAGATTTCCTATGGCAGCTTATCATGGAGCCGTCCAAATGAAAGAGGAGGTGATCGACCACCTACCCTAGACCTAGTGTTGACCCAAAATGAAGAAAATATAGAGAACTTAAAATTCGAGGTACCATTAGGAGCCAGTGACCACTGCATTATTGTGTTTGATTACATTGTAGAACAAAAAGAGTGGGAAAAAGGGCAAAGAGCAAGAGAATATGGAAGAGGGGACTACAGGATTGTTAAGTATTATCTGTAGGAGGTTCAATAGGAGATTGAAATGGAAGGGAAGTCAGTAAATGAGATGATGGAACCCATAACACAGAAATGTAAAGAAGTAACAACAGTTCATATATCTCAGGAGGGAAATGGACAAAATGAGAACAGCAAACCCATGCTTGAAAAATGTAAGAAGGAAAAGAAGACAAAAAACCAGCGTTGAATATAATGAAACGCCATTTTCTGGGCGAGACCCAGAGGTTTCACCTAGGAAAGCTCCAAGGACTCCCGCAGACCCTGAAGCTATCGGGCTAATGTGCGATAGACCCGAGCATAAGCCTATGGAGTTCAACCTACAGGGAACCACGAGCGTAGGCCATATACAGTGGAACCTCGAATAACGAATTTAATCTGTTCCAGCGCCACGATCATCATGTGAAATGGATGTCATACAACACGAATGTCCCCATTGACAATAATGGAAATCAAATTAATCCGTTCTACCATCGAAAAACATCAATATGATATTCGATGTTTTAAATAATGGAGCAGCCTACTTTACATACACTGAACAAACCTTAATGACATTTTTCTTTCTTCAAATTTGTTCAATAATTTTTTTTCATTTGTCTTATAGCAAAAGGTTCGTTTGGTGTTCAGCAGGTAGGCTGCTCCATGTTTCTTAAATAAAAAAAAATTGAAAAACAACAAATGTCAAAAAGGTTCGTTCAATGGTCGGCACTTAGGCTGCTCCATGTTTCTTAAATAAAAAAAAAATAAATTAAAAAAACAGTTGTAACAATTTGGAAAACCGACAAATGCCATAAAGGTTCATTCAGTGTTTGTCGGGTAGACTGCTCCATAATACAGTAGCAATCTTTCTTTGTTTCAAATGTGTTCCATTTGTTTTGTATTTTTTCATTTATGTCTTGATAATGGAGCGATAATCTCCTTCAAGAGAGATTTGGCCTGCTCTTTCCTATCGTCATGTTACTTGAGTACATCTTCAACCTCTAGATACTACAAGCAAGTGTAGTACATACTTAGTCAAATACGTTTTGCCAGGCGCAAACGTATCACACTCGCTCTCCATCTCCCCCCTCCCTCGTCGCCGATCACCAAACTAGCATTTCCAGCCTGCCAGCTTCTGATTGGTGAATCGACGTCTGCACCACTGCACTTATGCACCTCAGCGCCATCTACCTAGCCGATGTCTGGGCCTGCACCAGCCATTGGAGTTAGAATATTCTGTGCTCTCAAGCTGAAACAACCATCTGATATACGCTCTGTCTATTAGTGGATGTTCTCAGCCAGCGCTTTATTCTCAGCACCTGTTAATTTCATTTTGTCTTTATCCATTTTAGAGTAACGTCACCACTACAGTATATTATTTTATGTTATTTTTTTAATCTTGTGAGTTTGCACTGTACATAGCCAAGGAATTGTCTTATTTATAATTTGTTTTAAATTTAATTAAAGTTTCATTGTTCATACTATTTGTTTTGCCTTACTTTGCCACAGGACACAACAGCTATGCAGTCATCTTTTTTTTTTTTTTTTTTTTAAATGTGATAGGCATTGACACCAGCCACTGGGAGGACTGCCGAACACCTACACTTCTTTTTTCCATTACAAAATATAAATATATAAATATATAAATATATATATAAATATATATATATATATATATATATATATATATATATATAGACACACACACACACACACACACTCACTCACTCTTACAGTATATAAACTAATTAAATATCACTTATGATATGAAAAATTTATATTTTTATACTTAATTTTAAGTGAACAAACCTGTGCTAAACGCTTCAATTCATCAATTTGCTCTCGAAGCTGACAGATACGCGAGCGAACCAAAGATCCAATATCATCCAGTTCAGCCTGAGATCCACTATGGTCACGTATTTCCTGTTAAGTAAAAATGCTCACGATATGATGTGCTTTTTTGTGATATGCAAGTTATTAAGCAAATAATGTATCATATGGAAAATTAACAGTTTTGAGTGAATACTTATTTTAAAAAACCAGCATTGAATGTAATGAAACACCATTTTCTGGGTGAGACCCAGAGGATCCCCAGAGCTATACCAGGCTGATGTGTATATATCAGACCGTGGCAACATTCAAGCATTCAAGCGATGGAGTTTTTAGCCTACCGGGGACCACAAGCCAGAACCTGCCCTCAGAGAGGCACGAGGAGCAATGGCCTATAGACAACCCCATGTAATTGGCAGCAGTCTATGTCTGCCAACTACCAGGTCAAGCACCCAGAAAGGTAATTCCCAAAATAAACTACAGCTGGTTAAAAATTGCAAATTGAAAGCCGAACGAGCAGGCAAAACTTCCCAATCAGAAAACAAACAATCTGTAATGTAATACAATATGTACTACTAGTGTAAAGTTTAGAGTTTTCATCAGTAAAGTACCCCTATAGTCCACTAGGCAGTTGAAATGACATTCATAAGGATGTGATCATACTTATTCTGCACATGTGAAAGTGAAGAACATGATCAGATTATACTGCATAATATTGTTTAGCTAGGAAGATCAGATTATCAGCTTGGAACACAGCTCTTTTTCCTAATTTAAGCTCAATGAAGAGTAATGCAAATTAGTAAAAGAATTGAATAGCTTGAGAAAAGCTATTCAGAGTACAGTAATAAAGTGAAATTACAATGAGGAAATAGATTAAGGAAATTAATGCAAAGAAATACCTGTGATGCATTATGAATTTTAATAAATGGGTTAACATTGTGTGGGATATGCAAATTATCAGCCTGAATAGGAACAAATTATAACACTTATATGAACGAGATGAAAAATATCCCAGGGAAAAGCTATGTCATAATACATTATGTTTGCACATCTCAGGAGACCGACCTGTATAAGACTCTTCACTGTCACATCATACTTCACTATATCCTGCTTCACGACATTGACATACATTTGGTCATCTTGAGGCATTGTGCCTGTAAATGGTGTGTTTCTTCACTCTGGAAGAATAAATAATACATTCAATGTTATTAGTATCAAAGATTTAATTAATATATATTATTGAGAATACTGTAATGCTAAACCTGGCAGCATTTAACTCGCATCCTTCAGTCACAAGATTCAATAAATATTGCAGATAAACTGGCTAATGTAAACCCTGCAATTGTGGCTATCATCAAAATTGTCACCCAGATGTCAACAAAATCCATAAATAATCAATAAACTTAGGGTCTTGTAGTACAGCTAGCTTTGTTCTCGACTCACAATCGAGGATCATGGGTTCAATTCCCAGGAGATACAGAAATTGTTCGGCATATTTCCCTTCACCAAATGTTTCTGTTCACCCAACAGGAAATAGGTACCTAGAAGTTAGGCAACTGTTGTATTTATTTAGAGTTGCATCCCAGGAAAGTTAGAGGTTCAACCTTGGAGGACCTCAATACACGTTTAAAGTATATATTACATGCATATATTCATTAATTAATTAAATACATAGGCTTCCTGTCCTTAGCAAAACAAACAAATCAAAATTCATTGTTTAACTCTTTATAAAATGATAAAAATACACAGAAAATCATATGTACCTTTATTGTGGCCTGGACAGTGGTCAATACAGTAGTTCTGGCATTTGTTACATTACATTGTGATGGGAGGAGCCACAACCAAACAAAACAACATTTTGTTGTCCACTCAAAAGCAAGTAATCTACATGTAAATGTATACAGTTAAGATAAAGTATTTATGCTGCCCGGATATGTGCAGTCATCAAATGTTACCTATTGTTGGTGACAGGAAGCCTTTATTTAGGTTTAACAAGGTTTCCCTTGGCCAACTACTGACCTCCATCAAGATGCAACCCATACCAATTGTTTAACGTCTGGGTGTACCTATTTAGAGCTAGATGAACAGACGAAAGAAACATGCTTACATACAATCTATGTACTGTACCACCTATGACATTATGCCCTAGAATTGAACCCACTACTCTCAATTGTGAGCTGACAACATATACCACTGTGCAACAGGACTCCTTTTTGAGACCAGGAGCTGATGTCCAACTCAAAATTTATATTGTAGCCTCCCATGACTGTTGGATAATCATAATGCTAGAAAATATCCATCTAGATAATACTAGATGAATAATTTGTGCTAGATAATCAACTCATGATATTAATTGCACTTTGATGGTCAAGTAAGACTGAGTAGCTCAATGATTCTTCAAGATTATATTGTTTGAAGTGATCCAGACCTATAAACAAATGGAAGAATCTGCACAAATGCCATAACCTTTAAATCAATCATCTGTGGCTGCTTAGGATCTTTGTTGATATGCCTAAAAAAAATTGAATAAAGTGCAATATTTACATTACGTTATATTACTTTACTAGGCTTAGGTGATGGAATTTCATCAAGCTTTGGTACCTTTTACCAAGCTGGGGAGATGATGGTCATTACCCGTCTCGCTGTATGTTAGGAACCAGCTCATCACCAACAATCAAACTTAACATTTTTATTTTTTACTTATTTACAATAAGGTACAATGGATTTGAGATTACATAAGATTGGTATTTTTACATTCTTGCAAAGCCACTAGCACGCATAGCATTTTCGGCAGGTCCTTAATCTAACATATAATGTAAGATGAGAAGGTACATTGTAGCAAGGTTTTTTTTATCAATAAATAACAATAATATAAAGTGACAGGGGATTACACTGGCAAGGATATGTGCCTTAAGTACTAATATTGGGGAAGTTGGTAGTACAAGACACAGTGTCAGTTTGAAGCACAAGGTAGGAAACTATGAGGATGAAATGAGGTACTTTTTGGTTTTACTTTTGAACAGGTTGGATAATTTTTGTTAATTCATCAGGGAGTGAGTTCCAAACACTGGGTCCTTTTATTTGCATGGAGTGTTTGCACAGATTTAGTTTGACTGGGGATATCAAAGAGATATTTATTTCTGGTGTGGTGCTCATGGGTTCTATTACACCTATCAAGGAAAAGTAACAGATCAAGATTAGCCTTTAGGAACACGGTTTTGTACATGTAAATATCACATGAGAATGTGTGGAGTGAATTTATGTTTAGCATGTTAAGGATCTTAAACAGAGGGGCTGTGTGTTGTCCGAAGTGATTGGTTTTAAGCAATTGAATTATGGATATAATGTCTATCGTGCTGACTGGTAAAAGAAGTAGAGTTAGGATAGCTGCCGGTGAGATACGTAGTAACATGTGTCTGGGCCGCTGCAATTTTTCTGGCAAGGTTAGCAGTAAATGATCAAAATAAGGAAGGTAGGAATAATCTGGAGAAAGTGCCAAGCCATTACGACTATATAGCACTGGGAAGGGGTCAGGATAAGGATTTGGGTTGGGATGGGGGGGGTAGGGGGGGAGGAATGGTACCCAACCACTTGGATGGTCGGGGATTTAACGCCGACCTGCATGAAGTGAGACGTGTCGCTCTACCGTCCAGCCCAAGTGGTTGGACAAAGAAGCTATTAAATTCAGTTGCAATATCTAAGAGTGTTATAACCATCTTTGGAGAGTTTTATCTGTCTGTTATGTGATTGTTGTTTAGACCCTAGGGACCAGATTCACGAAGCAGTTACGCAAGTACTTACGAACGTGTACATCTTTCCTCAATCTTTGACAGCTTTGGTTACATTTATTAAACAGTTTACAAGCATGAAAACTTGCCAATCAGACACACTTACCTGACACCTGAGACACTCTCCTGACACACTTACCTGACTTCTTGATAGTAGGTGCAGTTTGCATGAAGTGTTTGTCCTCCCGATGACTGCTACACTCGCCTGACAACTGACAGATTCTCCAGCATCAGCCTGGCTCAGGGACGGTCTCTATAAATGTTGTTGACGCCCGCCTCTATATTTCATATGTAAAAGGATTATTTACGAGCGTTAAAAATGCCACAGTATTTATGGGTGTTAAAATGCGCACTCAAAAGTTAAAATATTTCCCCGAGCAATAAATGTAAGGCTCTGCAAGGAGCCTGAGCTAAACTGAGTTACCAAGTTCAAGTTCAAGTTCAAGTATGTTTATTGAGACAAGAAAAAAATACATCTCAAAGGGATAGAGTAGCTTAGGCTATTTCTACCCCCCTCTACTTCAAGTCCCTCAAGGGGCGCACAAATTCAGTGAGTACAGATACACAAATCACAATACAACATTTAACATTGCATATTAATATAGTAAGTGTTACAATCATTGGGGCAAAATTCTTGTAGTTCCTAAGTATTCTGTCTATCATATCATTATCACACATCCAAACAATTTGAAGTGGTACACTACTTATTTCCTTATTTCTATGGTTATCCATAATTTGACACTTTAATACATAATGGTCTTCCAAGTTCAAGTAGGTTTATTGAGACAAGTTAAAAAAAAAAAAAAAAAAAAAAAAAATCAAAGATTAGCTTAGGCTATTTCTACCCCTTCCCATACTTCAAGTCCCTCAAGGGGCGCACAAATTCAGTGAGTACAAATACAAGAATCCCATGTAACATATCAGGTTAATATAGTACTATCTAAGAGTATAATAGTGTACATCCACCGCACTAGATTTTAACCCATTAACGCTCCAAGATAATATTCTCACTCTACTTTCATCCATGATTTAATAAAACTACCTTTGCCCTGTCTGTCACATTCCATGAGATACGAGATTTTCTCAGACAGACTCTCCCAACACTGTAACATTTCTGCTTTCTCCTCATTTGCACAACAGCTACTAGCATCAAAGGTGATCTTATTCATATCTAATTTCTTTCTTATTTCTCTATACCGTTTTACTTTAACCTTTGTTTCGACATTTGTCACTACAGAAGGTTGAACGCTAACACTACTAGAAAGTTCATTTTCCTGACTATCCTCTATCATCAATACGTCATGTTCTTCCTTACTTTCTTCAACGCACATTTCACGTCCTGTTTCACTTTCCACTTCACGTCCTATTTCACTTTCCATTTCACGTCCTGTTTGACTTTCCATTTCACGTCCTGTTTCACTTTCCATTTCACGTCCTGTTTCACTTTCCATTTCACGTCCTGTTTGGCTTTTCATTTCACGTCCTGTTTGGCTTTCCATTTCACGTCCTGTTTGGCTTTCCATTTCACGTCCTGTTTGGCTTTCCATTTCACGTCCTGTTTGGCTTTCCATTTCACGTCCTGTTTGGCTTTCCATTTCACGTTCTGTTTCACTTTCCATTTCACGTCCTGTTTCACTTTCCATTTCACGTCCTGTTTCACTTTCCACTTCACGTCCTGTTTCACCACCATCTTCACCCCGTCTACCCCCCATAGTTAATTTTTCTAATGCCTCAATCCTCTTTTCTAGTTTTTTTAGATATTCCAATATTTGAGTACCAACCTCAGAGTTCACTATATTGACCTGAACCTTGTTTCCACAAGGTTTAATTTTTTCAGCTGCATTTCCTACTTTCCCTAGGCTCGCCTTAATTGTCTCTGTTCCTTTCTCCCACACATTGTTCATAGGCGCTGTCATTGGCTTCCAACTGTTTCCTCCATGTTCCTGCTGCACAATCTTTCCTTCCTTCGAGGATACATCTATCCTGCTTGTAGCACCCGTCCTCGAGTCTCTCAGATGAGGCTTCATGCGACATAGATAGGAACCAGCATTGTGGCTTCCTCGACAATTGCAACAAGATGGGACGATTTTTTCACCGTTTTTAATCTTGACTCTACACTCTCGAGAGTCGTGTTTCTTACCACAGTACCGACACCTGGAGTCAAACTGGCATTTCCAAGCCATATGTCCCCAACGAGAACACTTCATGCATAATATGGGCTCCTCAATGTATTTTACAACTTTCCTGTAGCCTAGTCCTTGCACAAAAATTCTTTCTGGAGCCTCACCCTTTACCAAGGCAACAACCTGGCTTTGTTTTTCACCACGAACACTGTTCCTCTTTGCCCAAACAACACTATCATTGTTGAGCAATAGATAATCAGGATCCAAATAAGTTGGATACTTAAACACTATGACCTTGGTGTACATCATACCTTTTTCCGGAGTAACCATCACAATATTCTCAAACCCATCCTTCGTTAGGTGTTCCACGGCCTCCTCTGTCCCAACTGTTATATAGGGCCGGTGAAGACCCTCCTTGAATAGTGGTTCATATTCAAAAAACTCCTTAGCCAAACGAACCGTCCACTCCAGCTTTTGATGGAAATTCAGTTGACATGCTGTAGGGAACAACAGCCTCTTCCTTCCATTAGTCTGCATCTCCCGCGTCCTGCTGAGCATGTCTTCATTTTTTGGTCTCTTTGTTATTTCCTCCTCACTGTCTTCGTCTCGCTGTCTTTGAATATTTCTCCGTTTATATCTGTTTACTACTGCTTGATACGGCCTAGTATCATCCTGTCTGCCATCCCCACTGTCACACTCTCCAGGCCCAGTACAGGATCTTCCATCACCTAGGCAGACCGCCTCAGCCATTTCCTCGATACACAAAGGCACTGTATCACTGCAACAGTCGAGAACAAATTCACAACATCTAGCTGCAGCAGCCACGTGCAAACACGAAGATGCGGAGCAACACGTCCTCCTCGCATCATGCAGCAGACCGCACTGACTGAGTTACCAACATTTTTTAAAGGTGTCTTATTTATTTATTTATTTATTTATTTATTTATTTATTTATATATATAAAAGAAGATACATTGGGATTGTGAGGATACATAGCATAGTAATTACAGCCTTGTAAAGACTGTATTATAAATATTATAAATAAAGACTTATTATAAATATTGCGATCACTTTCACCTAATTGTGCTTGCAGGAATTGGTCTTCAGCACTTTTGTTTAGCATATAAACTTTCAAATCAGCTGAAATGGTTCGCCTATTGATGTTTACCCATTGCTGTCGACGGGAGGGAGGGAGGGAATTATCAGAGGGAAAGCGCCAAGCCATTACGACTATATAGCACTGGGAAGGGGTCAGGATAAGGATTTGGGATGGGACGGGAGGAAAGGAATGGTCCTCAACCACTTGGACGGTCGGGGGATTGAACACTGACCTGCATGAAGCGAGACCGTCACTCTACCGTCCAGCCCAAGTGGTTGGGACATTAAACCTATTATAATTAGCCTTATTTTTTTTATTTGTACAAGAGTTCTTACATTCTTGTAAAGCCACTATAGCATGCTTAGCGTTTCGGGCAAGTTCTTAATCCTATGTTCCCCGGAATACGACCCGCCAGATTGTTTAACAACCACCGGGATTCACGAAACAGTTATGCTAGTACTTACTAGCGGGTACCCATTTTACTGTTAGGTAAACAAAGGCTACAGTTTAGGATTTGTGCCCAGTAAATCCTCCCAGCCTAGATACGAACCCAGGACAAAGCGCTCGCGAAACGCCAGGCGAGTGTCTTACCACTATGATTGATTGATGAAGATTAAGCCACCCAAAAGGTGGCACGGGCATGAATAGCCCGTAAGTGGTGGCCCTTTGGAGCCATTACCAGTATCATTAGCTCTGCCACGGGGACTACTTGCATATGTCCCCCTATACATAGGCCTACTATTTTGACATTTCCCAGGATGCAACATGCATCAGTTACCTAATTCCTGGGTATCTATTTCCTGCTAAAGGAAACGTTGTCCAACAATCTTGCTGTCCTGCCGTGGGATTGGAAAAAAAACGAAACCTTTTCGGCTACGACCCGCCCTTTTTTCTAATCTATGAAGCTGTTTTCGTGCTAAATACCCATCAGTTTACACTACATTATTGGTGTAAACAATGTGTCCTTATAACACACCGTCTGCAGTTAAGACATTAACTGCTCTAACAATGGTAACATAAGTTTGATAAACTCTCCCAGAGATGGCAGCACGCGAGGGTGATGTCTGGCAGCGACGGTGTGATGGTCGTGTGGCCGCACTTTCTCTCTCTAACAATATTATGATTTTATCTGTTGTCAGCGCTGCTTGGCCTCGACGTCTGAGAGAGAGAGGGTGAGGTAACTCTTGTACGCCAAGATGTGCGCCCAGAAATTCAGTTTATCCTTCTCGAAGACAATAGAGAAGAAGTCCCTGCAGCCGTCTGCCATCAGGAACGACGCCCCCGCCGAGATCAAGGAGAGAACCGAGACTCTCGAGTCCATCGAGGAAAATGTCTTGAAAACGTTGGTATATTTTATTTTTTATTTTATTTATTTATTTATATACAAGAAGGTACATTGGGTTTGTGAGAATACATAGCATAGTATTTATAATCTTGTAAAGTCACTCGTACGCGCAGCGTTTCGGGCAGGTCCTTAATCTAACAGATAATTTGAAGTAGGTAAATTCTACCAGAATTAAAATAACAAATACATTGCAAGAACAAAAATGAGATGAGAGAGATTAGTAAGTATATTAAAGCACATTGGTATATTAAAGCTGTTGCCTTTGCCTACTAAAGCCTGTTGTTGCCTACTAAAGCAAGGTATTGTTGCCTGAGTACCTTGAGAGGCTATTGTCACATCGTAGACAGGTCCAATTGCTACGACTACTAGGTTTGGCTGGCTTGGGTTGGATAAGGTTATGTTGCTGATTTAAGGGGTAAAGTAATGAAGGGTTTAATATTTGTTGGTAAACCAACTTGGTCATTTCTCTCTAAGCCAGAGGAATTTCAGGTCACTGAACATTACTGAGCAGTATATATATATATATATAAGTTTAATATATATATATATATATATATACTCTGAGCCGTACTTGGAAATGTCTACTGTTAAGTCCACTACGGGTTCACCGTAGCCTGTGCTACTTGGAACTTTTGTTCTGTGTAGCTGAGTCTAAAACATCAACGTCTACTGAAAATAATGTATAAAATTTGTTTAAAAATATTTTATCTTTTAAGATCAATGTATTTCTACATGCTAAGTACAATAGTGTTAATACATGCACCACACGTTTGCAGTGCTTCAACATCACCACTGAAAAATTATTGTTACTGCATCATGATGCCAGCTTACAAGTGTTAAAATTTCTTTTTTTATGGTTAATTTTCAGAGATGGCAAGACAGAGGAGACAGAATTGGTCATTCCACTGATGCAAGTCAATCGAGCAGCTGTTTACCAAAAGTTGGTAGAAAAGCTCAAAGCATCCAAGAGCAATGAGGAAAACAATGAAGAGGTAATGAACACAGCAACTGAGGAAGATAAAACCAAGAAAGAGCCCAGAGTCTTAACTTTGGATGAACAAGCTGAAGCTGCATTGTTGGAAGGTTGGTTTTATGAGCAGACTGAAGGGATTAGGTTATGTGGCAAAGGGAGCACAAATGGAAACTGAACACTCAGTGAGTCGGAGAAATATAGGAAGTATTTCTTCTGTAAAAAGAAATCTCTTCACTGTGAGGGTGGAAAGCACTAGTAGAGAAAGCAGATTCACTACAATTGATTGTTTTTTCTTAATCCTTGGAATGTATATGGTGTGTGTGTGTTCGTGTGATTTCTCATACATGCACACACACCATCCACATCAGGAAACTTATGGCAAGAACATCAAAATTAACCCTAAGATAATTCCTTTCACTGGTGGCAAACTCTTTACATTTATTCAAATGTAAATTCACCAAAATCCTTGGAATTAGGAAGCTTTGTCATTATTGACATCAATCACAAAAAACAGCCATGACATCCACTATAGACACAAACTACAATAACATAACATCTACTGTATTAATAGTTACAACCAACACATTACAGTTACAACCACAGGCCCCACTACCTCCATCCTCATTATACTGTACTAGCCTATACACAATACAACTGCATGTACTCTTTATATTCCCTGTACTCTGTGTAGTAACTTGGAATTATTCCCTATACTCATTACACCATCCTGTTCATCATGCCATAGAAAGTTATGTTTGTTATATTGGTACATTTACAGAAAGCAAGAGAAGGCTTGACACTTGGAATGAGCGAGGTGCAAATGATAATTTGACCATCTTGTCTCAAGTAGAAGAGAAACTTGATACATCACCAAATGACCTTGGTAAAGAATCTTCACTTGATGATTATGATCAGGTAAATTCTATATAGATTTATGTTCAGTGTCAATTATTGTTTAGAATTTGGGATAATTTCCAATATTTCCAAAGGATTATGTTATATTTAATTCAGGAAGACTTATTTATTTCTGTTTTAAACATTTTACTCTATTTCTTTATAGGTTGACGTATCTGTTTATGGAGCAGCAATTCTCAGGGGTATGGGCTGGAAGAAGTCCGAGGGTGTTGGTCGAGGGAACAAAAAGTATGCATGTTGTATGTGTACTGCATCTCTTTTTGAGGTCAAACTCCATCATGTTAGAATTCAGATACAAAAGATTAGATATGTATATAATGTTCCTTGGATTTTGTTAGTCCTGCAATACTTTAAAGAAAACAATATAAGTATAGCTAATGTAGTGACTATGTACAGTATAATATAAAGGTCAGATGCAAGCCTAACAGTTTGTGAATCTTATAAGCATATCATGACAGTTCAATTTGTGTAGTGCATTTGTCATATCACTATTAACAAGTGTAGTACTTATTCTCTTGTACTTTTTTCATTCATGTAAATATTAATGTGTAGGATAGTTTGGGTACATTTAAAATTTTCCCATCACATATTAGTTTGTGAAAAATTTGGCAGAACAAGTATCTCTAGCAATTAAATACAGTATTTCAAATAATCTTTGCAAAATCATTAAAGCTGTTGCTTTTGTTCTAGTGTTTTTTGGTGGAATTTTTCTTTGTTTTGGGTTCATCTCTAATCCCCAAGGTCCTGCTTACCTAGTAGAGAGAGCCAGATTCTGGTTCAGGAGTACAGCATGTGAATACAGTACTGACATGTACAGTATAGGCAGTAAAAATGTTGAAATATGACTGAATATTATTGGTGTAATACATTAAAAAAATTACATTTTCATTTTCAGGGTTGTAGAAATCATAAATCCATCATCAAAATCTTTTGGACTGGCTGGCAAAAAACCTGAAATTCCAATTGTTGAGGGAAAAGGAGTTACACAGGAAGAAGAGCTGACCCTTATGAAAGGATCGTATGTTTTCATTCACAGTGGTCGGCATCGTGGAACATATGGCGTGGTAAGGTTTCTATTGATCTGGAGAGGTATATCAATTCTATTTCCGTTTTTTATTACAGAACTGTATTGTGACTTCCAAGACAGAATTTAAGACAATATCAACCCAAGAAGGTTTTTATCATATAGGCACAGATCCACAATTTGACCACCTTGGGACCAACAGCAGTCAATCAAGGTGTTAAATTCAGATTAAGGGTCAATCTCTCCTGCCCCTTACAAAATGATTGAGTTATGTCCAATAATATAGCAAAAAAATATAAGTAATACTTTAAATATTTCATGTGTATCTGATTTTTGGAGACATGTGTTAGAGGAAGTTGCCAGCAGGTATTGTACTTCAATTCCTCACCCTATGCCTCATGAGAGGAGTAATTAATGCAGCTGCTGGCTACTTCCTTCCAGAGTACATGTCACCAAAAATAGGATATACACCTAATGTTTATCCACTACTATTTATGGATTCTTGCATTAATAAACATTTAGTTTCTCCCATCTTCACTTTATTTAGGATTGGATAGCATGGATAGGTTAAATTGGTATAAAGAAGGGTCATAAGCATCATAGTATTTGGCTGTTAGCCATTTGCTTTCTTGGAGTGTAGTGACAAATTCATCCTCATTTGTTACATGATACAACTATCCTATGTAATTCATAGCATGGCCTCCCCCTAAATTGTCTCCAAGCCAACAGCCAAGATCCAGCCAGAACACTGCAAAGATGCCAAGCTCTCATTAACAATCACTCCACCATGACAGGTACCTTCACAATGGTTAGAGAGGGACTAGTGCTCTCAATCCACCACCGAGAGAGGCCAGTGACACCAAAGAGTAGAATAAATCCCATAATCACTTTAAAATAATAATTGTTAACATAAGTAATGCCAATTATTGCTCTGGACTGAGGAAACTAGCTGGACTGTTTCAGAATTTATTGTTCTTCAGACTGTAAGGGTCCCTGCCTTTTTCTCGGGGCCATGCCCCTCGGGCATTATCTTTCTTTGCCTCTACTTTCCTTCCACTTTTGGATTCTGATCTATGTTACTGTGTACGTGTCTCGGATAGTAAGTCTGCTGCCAGGTAAGCACTGGGTTCTCCCTCAGTATGGTGGCCTGTCTCTGTCTTATTCCTTCGTTAAGCTACTCACATACTGTGAAAGCTCAATAATTCAGGTTTATGTAACCTGAATCTCTTGAGTAATCTGAATGAATTCGTGTTAAAGTTTTTACATTTTTACCCAAATGCTAAATCGGCTTTGAAATTTAACAAACTGAGAAATTTTACTATAATTTTTTTACTGTCCAGTAAAAAATTTGGCCAACTCAAATATCTGGCTAACTCGAACAAGGTTGAGCCCCAAATAATTCAGATTACTTAGTAGCATAGACAGTATTTTGTTTCCTTTGGGTAGTAGTCTTTGTGGACAGTTGGTTCAGGGAGCAACCAAGGTGGCCTGGGTCAGAAGCAAGATACTGAGAGAATTGGAACACTTTTCTGATCGGCTTCTATTATGCTACCTTTCCCATCTGGTGGGAATGGGTGTTGGCTAGTTTCCATAGAACAGTAGTTCAGAGCAATAATTTATATTTCTTATGGTGCTGGTTATTGCTTGCTGGTGAAAGATTTGTTTTGCACTTTGGTATCACTTCATGTGGTCTCCTTGTGATAGTTTGAAAGTGCTCTCCACTGTATTCCCTTCCCAGTCACACGGAAAAATTATTTCTGTCATAGTGGGGTAAAGGTCGATGAGTTTGGCATATTAGCAGTGTCCTGGATGGACCATGATTGTTGGTTTGGGTAGCAACAAAGGGCAGCTAAGAAAGAAGACTCAAATTCTATAGGTGCCTTATTTTTAGGCCACTTTCATTCCAATTACTCAGGATGCATGTTAAGCTCAACTTGTGAATGATGCACGCACAGTATTGCCAGACACATACTGTTATCTGGAAGCAATCAGTTCAAGAAACTTTTTGAATATCTGGCAAAATGTGATGTACTTATGTGGTATATCACATTTAACATAAAATATTAATTTATATTAACTGCAATTTTCATTGTTTTATTATATTTAGTTGTGTACTCTACTTGCTTTTGCAGGTTGAGACACTGGATGAAGATCACCTACTGGTAAAGGCAGCTGTGAGTCAAACTGTAATACGAGAAGTGGAGCTCAATGTGAGAGTTGTCTCACAAAATGAATTTAAAGACTCCTCACGTGTCATTAACAAAGACATGTATGACAAGTTCAAGGTAAGATTGGCTTTGTTTTTATTGAACATATTTGCTTTCATTGCTAGAGGAACATTTCCATACATTTTGTATGGAAGAAGTGTCTGTTTAAACGGTTCCAAAGAGTTACTGTGTCAAGAAACTGCTATGTCACGAAGCATAATATACTGTATTTTTTCTAGAAATTAATAATTGTTTTGCTTTTCAGTTTAGCTAAATATGAATTAAATTTTTCAGGAAGAGGAAGCTAAAACGAAGGAAAAGCTGAAGAAAATGGTGAAAGATTCTGAACCAAAGCCAGACAACACAACCGCACTACAGAGAGGGTTAAAGTTAGAGAAAATGGCTAAAGAGGAAATAACTCCCACTAATAAAGACAAGGTGGTAAAGAAACCCAGTCATCCATCCAAAGAAGTTGAATTGAAGATGGAGCTCAAAAGAGAAACACAAGATACAGAAAAGACAAGTAAACACAGAAATGAGAGAAAATACAGAGAATATGAAGGGAAAAAATCTAAGAATGATCCTAAACGATGTGATGAGAAATCAGAAGTGAAGCTTGGTTTAGACAGCTATGGTGAGAAATATCAGTCAGAGTACACTAAAAAATCTGTAGATAAGAATGATGTGCTCAAGAATCATTCACAAAAACACAGTAACCATTCCCAGAGTTCATATTACAATAGCAAGTCGAAAGTCGGCAAAAGAGAATATGAAGATGAATATGATAGCTATAGTCAAGGATGTGTGAAAGTTCAAAAGTCACAAAGTAAGATGCCAGCTATTCCTTGGGTTCAAGAAAACCTTAGAGTTCGCTTGATAAGTAAAAGTTATAAAGGAGGAAGATACCACAAAGAAAAGGTAAGTCACTCATTAAGAATGTTGGTGTAATTTGTTATTGTCCCTCCTCTTCTCTAGGGTTTAAATTCAGTACTTGTGTGACAATCAGTTGGTTTACTTTCATTTACATGTAACACTATGGGACAGACAATTGTTGGCATCTGTCTTTAAAAGTCTTCCATTTGTTTCATAGTATTAATTAATAATCCATATTCTTATTAATTAATAAGAGTAAATATACTCATCAAATTTTTATTACATACATGTAAATACCAAAGATAAAGAATGCCTAATCACTGTTATTGTAAATTAACTCTAATGGGTAATACAATATCATACCTGCTTGATACCTAATTGATGGGGTTCTGAGAGTTGTTGTTCTCCCGAAGCTCGGCCCGAAGCCAGGCTTGACTTGTGAGTTTGGTCCACTAGGCTGTTGCTTGGAGTGGCCTGCAGGCCCACATACCCACCACAGCCCGGTTAGTCCGGCACCCCCTTGGAGGAAACAATCTAGTTTCCTCTTGAAGGTGTACACAGTTGTTCCGGCAATATTTCTTATGCTCGCTGGGAGGGTGATGAAAACTGTGGACCCCTGATGTTTATACAGTGTTCTCTGATTGTGCCTATGACATCCCTGCTCTTCACTGGTTTTATTCTGCATTTTCTTCCATATCGTTCACTCCAGTACGTTCTTACTTTACTGTGTAGATTTGGTACTTTGTCCTTCAGTACGTTGTTATTTTACTGTGTAGATTTGGTACTTGGCCCTCCAGTATCTTCCACGTGTATATTATTTGCTCTCTCTCTCTTCTTTCTAGTGAGTACATTTGGAGAGCTTTGAGACGATCCCAATAATTTAGGTGCTTTATCGCGTCTATGCGTGCCACATATGTTCTCTGTATTCCCTCTATTTCAGCATAATTATAAAATGTTTATCTTTTGTTTTTACTATACAGTACTGTATATTCTAAATGATGTATTAATTTAACTTCTTGTCAAATTAGCAAAGTAATGCTTTGAGTCAGTCTACTTATATTTTATGTTTATTTGGTTAGTAATGTTGTATGTAATGTCATTCACATTAGGTTATTGTGCAAAATGTGGAAACTGCTGAAAGCTGTGAATGCATAACTGAAGAAGGGAAAATGTTGAGGCAAGTCCACCCTGCTTGGCTGGAAACTGTCATACCCAAAGTTCATCCCCAGATCGTTATGGTTGTGAAGGGACCGCAGAAAGGACAGGTAATATGTAAATTTTTTTTAATGAAGTAACTGTTGGGTAAATGTAAGATAATGGTTAATACTGCTTATTTTCTGGTGTTACCCTTGTATATTTAGGATACAGTAAGTTGTGTTTGATATATATAATTTATTTTCCTCTCCATATTCTTCACTCACTGTGGTGCTTTCACTGCACAACTGTAATATTTATTCCCCCTGCTTTGTTTATTTACTCGTGCCCAATTTATTGCTCAACCTCTTTAATATTGTGGTGAAGGCAGGCATTAATGCAGTGACTGACTGCATTAATGTATACTGTAGTAATATTACTGTATAGTATTACTCTGCCGCTAAGGAGGCTATCCTCACTTGTCCCATCTCTCATAAAGGTATCCCGTATTCCGACTCCTACCTAATAACCCTTGCCCGTTAGAAGACCAACGACCATGCCGTTACTGATAACAAGAGCACGCAGTTTGAGTAGTTTGTCCCCAATGGCCTTCCATGTACCACCATAACTGGTGGTGGGAAACTACTCTGGCGAGGTTACGTCTTGGACATACACATTTAACTCAGGCACTTAATGGAGCGCCACCCTGCTCCTTATTGTCCAAACTGGATTGTTCCTCTTATGGTCGTGCACATCCTTGTTGAATGTCTGGACTTCCAGGATGTGTGTTTCTGTTGCTTCCCGACAGCCCCTCGATAGAATTCTTAGCGATTCGGATACCTTCGATATCGTTCACCTTATGCGCTTTTGTTCTCGTATTGGCATCTTTAGTGATATTTAGCGCCCTATGAACATCTTGCACATTTGATGGCGTTACCTTTTGATAATTACTTTATCCGATAATTTCTGTCTACTCTCCATCATTGTCAAGATTAGCACTGATAATGTTGTCATTATCTTTAATAAGATACTTGTACAATATTAAAAAGTATCTCTGGGCAAATGCCTCCCTATTCTAAATTGAAAAATTAAGCAAAATAAGCAATATTTGGCTAATAATAATACACTACATAATTAATATATATTTACTATTCCAGAAAGGCCTAATATTACAGCTACACAAAGACCAAGAGAAGGCATCTATACAGTTACTTGAAGATGAAACTGTAATAATCAAGCTACATTACGATGACATATGTGAATATGTACGACGATGATGAACATTCTCCAGACTTAAAAGACCACCTATCTTGGAGATTATATTCTCCAGCATTGTCTAACATAATACTTTATTTCTCTAGTGTCATGTAATTATATCATTTTTTTAAATATATAGTTTTAATTAAGAAAAAAAAATTAATAATCCTTGGCAAAGACTAATATTTAGAGGCCATGTATTGAATATTGCAGTGGACTGCTTATCCAAATTAGGCCTTAAGTAATGCTTTAAAGTGTACCATTTTTCCATCAGATGGTATATATGTATGCACACACTATAATCACAATAATCTATTCTTTCCTTATGTAATTTCAGAGAAACATTCATGTAGCAACTGTGACTACTTTCCTTAATTAAAAATGTACCAAAATACATGTACAGTATAAGGGACATTCATAATACAGCTATAGTAAAAGATATTTACTTTACATGTACACTTAAACATCTGATGACATTCCTCCTGAACTATTTACAAAGTTATGAAATATTCACCAGAAGTAGTTTGAGATGTTAACAAAAGAAGATAGCTAGTTAATTTAATTTACTATGCAGTACATTATTTATTAAACAAACCTCTGTTAAATATTGAAGTTCTACCCAAGATGACTAGCCAGAAATATGGCCAAAAAAGAACATTCTTACTCCATCCAGTAAAAGCGTGCACCATATCGTGCAGGACCACGAGGAGGGTCATCAGGCAGATCTAGTGGAGTATCGGGGAATACGATGGGCTCCTCTGGTTTTGGTTTAGGTCTGGAAGATAAAATCCTAAATCTTAACATGGACAGTTCAATCTGAATTTATATTATTTACTGTACAGTACTTGATTCTTAAAAAAAATGATAGATGAACTTTTATTTATCTGGGGCTGGTCAAATACAAAATAGCATATTCCAGTACATCCTCAGCTTTTAAAATAATAACTACTGACTATACATCAGCTACCATAGTGAAAAGTAAACACAGCTATACTGAAAAATCTTTTACAGAAGTAATGGTTCATTATTGACTGCTCAATAGACAATTTGTCATGCAAGGTCCTCGATCAATTTTCTTTCCAACAAAAACTATTAAGATACTGATATTAAAATCAGTTATTATATTTTGGGCTCTTCAGCCCATGTTAAGGTTTTATTTATGGCAAATCAATCTTGCAGTATGGTATTGCATTTCCCCACATGACAGGCAACTTACTGAAGTTTGGTTATGACATGGTACCCATTCACCAAAAAATTGAACAGAAAAGTAGTGATATATTCTCTAGGAGTATACTGTGCCACCTTAACCCTTCCACTATGCATATATGATTTATACTTCATGACCATATTTCTTCATCAAAAGAATAAACAAAAGCAGACAGGTTTTGTCTGTCTTCTTTTCAAAGTCTCAGACTCACTTGGATGTATGTGTTTCTCTATATGACAAGACATGCATAAACAGGTAAACTGCTATACAGTATTTACAAATGAATTGTCAATGACAAATGTTGGAAATTTGAAAATTTAAAAGCATTTAAATACAGTTCTATATTCTACAAAATAACTTCTCCACACAATTACAACTAATTTTGTATCAAGGACAGACTCTTCACTAATAAATTAGTAAATACAGTAGTACAATACAGGTATAAAGTTAGTTATCAATAGCTGACTGACTTAATTTTAAGAAATCCAATAATATAGCTCAAGTACATTACTGTGCAATCTCGATGGCACTGTGATTAGAAAAATGTGAATAAGAGTCATATTAGAAGTTACCATTCATGCCCTAATGTTTCCCCACTATGTTATCTTGAGGTTATCTTGAGATGATTTCGGGGCTTTAGTGTCCCCGCGGCCCGGTCCTCGACCAGGCCTCCACCCCCAGGAAGCAGCCCGTGACAGCTGACTAACACCCAGGTACCTATTTTACTGCTAGGTAACAGGGGCATAGGGTGAAAGAAACTCTACCCATTGTTTCTCGCCGGCACCTGGGATCGAACCCAGGACCACAGGATCACAAGTCCCGCGTGCTGTCCGCTCGGCCGACCGGCTCCGGCTCTCTATGGGCTAATTTCACGGAGTGAAATTTTAATTTCAATTATATGGCAGACAACTACCAAAAGAACCTGTCTCAAAACCTCATTTTCAAAGGAATGTGTGATAAATATTATGTCTCACCTTTTGGAATCTACAATCTTGGGTCTGCAGAAATAGCCAAAATCGGGACGCTCCACGTTCAAATTGTCGAGGACACACTTATCAAAGATGGCCTGAGTAGTTCGGCAACTGTGGATGCAGGATGCATCATGAATATTTTCTAAAAATAATATTAAGAAATATGGCTGCCTGTGCAGAGTTAATACTGTATCTGAAAAATAACAAAAAGATACTGTATATGTAGACATAACTAGGGAGTTTAAAGGTGACAAATTGGGCATTTGATTTAGTGGTTCAGTGGGTAGTGTGGCTGTGGGGTTGTCGAATAGGGATAGAGGCTGGAAGATACTGCTGTGTATTTTGTCTCGTTCTATCATTCTGATAAATATTTCCTTGGTCGAGTGATTTAGTGTCCTCTACTCTGTGCCTTTAGGAGGGGACCATGTTTTGGCCTTTGGTCTCTCGTAGGCAAAGACTCGCAAGGGCTTACTGCAATTTGATGTGTGTAGCTATTCCAGACATCTAGATTAGATTATACCTAGATTGGCTTGCAACAGGGAACCATCTTGGATATACCAGAAAGAGGCATTTCATTACATTTAATGCCATTTTTACCAATAAAAGATAGGAAATTCTACAAACAAATAACTTTCACTCTTGCACCTTCAAACAGCCAACAGCCCAGAATTGCACATCTCATGTGTACTGGCACAAGAGATCAAAGAAAAAAAAAAGTATATACACAAATACTGACCGACGATACTCTAAATCTTGAGAAGACTTGTCAAGGCAGTTGGCATATTGGTTGAATTCTTCCAAGCAAGTCTTCTTAATTTTTCTAAAAAATGCCAAGGAACAAGCAGTTACATCCTTCCCTTCATTAATACACTTGCGGGGATCCTTCTCTTCTTTGCGACAGAGCATGAACTCCTGGAAACGAAAAATCTCCCAAATAAAAAAGATTACAATATTTTTAAGATTTTTTTTGTCCTATAAAATAATTTTTTTATGTCCTAAAAAAAGATGACAAAACTCATACTCCCCCTATTCAGTAAAAGTCTTTATAATTAAATATACAGTATTTTATTATACAGTAGTGGCAAATTTCTAGTTTTCAAATGTTACTTTACTTTTTTTTTCCATACTAAAATTTCACATAGGTTTCTTGTAAAACTTCGGAGTGTGTTGGGGAAGGCAAATTTTTTACTACCCTCAAAGACATAGACAACAAAGATGGTCATAACTGAAGTAAGTGAAACATTTCTGTTTAAAATTTTTAAATAAATAACCAGGCCACTAAAACAGCTTTAGACTAGGTGATGTTTGCACCATTGAAAGCCATTAAAAAGTATGCATACTTACCTCTTACCTCTTGCCTCTTACACAAGAGATTGTGCCTCTTACACAACCATCTGTTTACATTAAGAAATTAAAAAAAAAAGGTGCGAGTAGCACTTAAATAAAAGAGGGGGGGGGAATAAATAAAGTAAAATCGTGGTTCTGTAGATTGGGATTTGACAATGTGTCAATGTGGAATAAAATCTAGAACAACCAGACAACTGGTTACCCCAGACAACGCTATTGTATGAAAGTCACCAATATCAAGAAATTAAAATGTCAAAATGCAAAATGAAAACCAACAATACAATTTTCTTTTTTTAAACAGGAAAAGTGGGCATTTGTCTTGGATTCAGGGTCGACTGCCATACCAGGAATGGTTGAAGACCATTGGGCTAACAAACACTGCAAACCAGACATGATAGAGCTGATCTCAGAAACTTTTAAAATAATGAACAAGTTGGAGAATATTAATCCAAGTCCACTTCTTCAAAAGGTCAGATGTAACAAACAAGGAGCAACAGATTCAAGCTCAACAAGCTACAATGTAGGACAAGAAACAGGAGATGCTCTTTCACCCACAGGGTTATAAACCCATGGAATTGCCTACCTGCCAAAGCAGTAAATGCCAAAACCCTGCTACAATTTAAAATCAAATAGATAAAATCATCAGGACAAATGGGGACCTTTGATCACCTGCCAGTTCCCTACCCTTGTTGAGGTCAATAGAGAGATGGTGTCCCTTAGGTAAATTTAGATACATTTTTAAAGGAATTTCACTAGTACATATTTGCATACAGTATTTATTTACACTTACCATCCTTTCAATATTATTGCCCAACATTCCTATAATATCATAATTGACACACAGATCAATAATCCAAATAGCCAACTACAAGCTTGTCCAATTCTAATTTTGTGTTATAAATTTCACATTTGTATTTGTGTCTGTCCTGCCTTGCAGAAGACACCAGGTATGATAACAGTACTCTGCTCTATGGTGAATATGCACACAATTTATCAATGAATTTGTACACAGGAGAATTCCTTAGTACAGTATTAGGTTATAGCTTTCCTGATGATACAGAGTTACAAGTGAAGAAACGACGACATTCTCCCTTGTCATCTCTTCACTTTCTAGTGTGTGGTTTGGTCAACATTTTTCAGCCATGTTATTGTGACTCCTCATCTAAACACAGAATTACAATGTACTATTTCAAAAACATGGTCATACTAAAATTTTGTGTCGAGACTAAAACACCCGAAATGTTGTGTAGAAAATACAAATGTAACATGATGTGTGGATATAAAAACTAATCGGAAATGTTGTAGGTCACAAAAATTGCCTGAAAAGTTGCTTGAAAAAAGTAACAGTCTAAAAGTTATTAAAAGTTAAAAGTCAACAGTCTCCGGGGCATTATGGTAACACACTCTCTTGGCGTTTGGCGAGCGCTTTGTCCTGGGTTTGTATCCTGGCCTGGGGAGGATTTACTGGGCACCAACCCTTAACTGTAGCCTACGTTGACCAAACCACTAGAAAGTGAAGGGACAACGACATTTCGGTCCATCCTGGTCCATTCTCAAGTTAGACTTGAGAATGTCCAGGACAGACCGAAACGTCGTCGTCCCTTCACTTTCTAGTGTGTGTGGTTTGGTTAACATATTTCAGCTACGTTATTGTAACTCCTCGTCTGCAGCTGTAGCCTGTGTTTAGCCAACAGTAAAATGGGTACCTGGTTGTTATACGATTTGGCGAGGTCGTATTCCGGGGAATATTAGGATTAAGGGCCTGCCAGAAACGCTATGCGTGCTAGTGGCTGTACAAGAATGTTAAAACTCTTGTATATAAAAAATAAATATATAAATAAATATGGAAACCAACACTTGTCTGTGCGTACGGTGGCAAAATCAGTAGCCGGGTCATTGCCGATAACGAGTGGAATAACTCACATTATTCTGAGTCTCACAGACACTACCCAGGTGGAAAGCAGCGGCCTTAAGTGCAGGTGTGCTGACGTTTATCTCCTCAACCGTCAGCTCCTCCTCCGTGGGCAGATCAAAGTCCTTGGTGAACATCTTGGGGACGACGAGCACGGCTCCAGCTGATCACAACAACAACAGCCGCCGCCTCGCCACCTATGAGAAGCCGCCCCGGACAAACCCATTCTATAACTCCAAAATTAGATAAAAATTATGTAATTTTTATGTGCAAGTATGTGGGGTGCATAATAAATGAACACATAATAATATTAATGCTAACTTTCCTAGAGGTCGACCTTGTTTAAAAAAAATGTTACAGAATTTGGAATAATACACTTTAATTATTTGATTACCTTTTAATTTTTGTATTTAAAATTTTGCCCCCGAGGGGTGAGTTTATTGGGCAGCGTTACTCACCCTGTGAGAGGACATACACTACCGCCATAGCAGTATGTACAGCACTCCCCAATAGGAAGAAAACCCCCCTGGGTTGTTCATCCTGTCACTTCTACCCAGACACAGCTCGGACTTGCTTAACTGTCTCAAGTGAACAGCTCCTCAAACAAGAAGATTAACATTGTCAACCCTTAAATTTTTACGTTATCTTGCGGGTGCAAAATGGGGGAATCTTTTAATAATAGTATCTATGTTTGACAAATGGTATTTTCCTAACTCAAACAATGTGGCGTTTATTATTCTACACATATTTCTAATGTCTCTCAGATGTTCACATTTCCTCAGGTAGTGGTCAAGGCGGTGTCCGTCACTCTCACCACAGATTCTGCAATTCCGCTGCTCAACTATTGTTTCCATTCCGAATCTCCGTGGATATTTGTAACCAAGATGGATTCTCGCTATTACTGATTCTCTCCCGCGTCCTCCTCCTCTTCGTTCACAATGACTGGGATTGCCAGCAGGTTTGTTCTTCTATCTTCCTTTCCTCAGTTACCTTGTCGCGGTGATGTTGCCTGATAATACCTCTAATTTGTAGCAGAGTCTTGGGTATGAAGTATTCAATATGGTCACGTTCAGCGCCTTCAGCAGCCAGCTCTTTCATTTCCACATATCCCAACATGGGAGGGGATCCACAGAAACTTGACGACTCTTCCCTGGCTGGTTAGTACTCTCACAGCACTTTTGATTTGCCAAATATATATACTGTATATAAATTGTAGCAGGTACACCAGAAACTACAAGGACAGTATCTACTACCAAATAAACAATGCCCAATTAAAATTGCGAGCAGAGCAGAAGGGGAAATTTCTGTAGTCCAACACAGATAACATACCAAATTCTAATTGTGACACATAATAGTAAGAAAATATCTACAAATGAAGGCCTTTTTCTTTCAAATCGGCTACTATACACCTCACTGTGAACACCCTATACTACATTATTCACTAATCTCTCCAGATCTGACGCTATCTGCGGCTGCTGTTCTGCGACCCACAAGGAACTCATTTCCTCGTGGGTCAATAATTGCTCAACATGCAGGCGAGGAATCACAATAACGTGGTTGAAGTATGCTGACCAAACCACACAATAGAAAGTGAAGGGACGACGACGTTTCGATCCGTCCTGGACCATTCTCAAGTCGATTGTGATCGACTTGACGATCGAAACGTCGTCGTCCCTTCACTTTCTAGTGTGTGGTTTAGTCAACATTACTGAACATAAAACACCGATTAGAACCATAACGAAATCCAACTCTGTCCATCCTTTATTTAAATCTTTAAACAAACAAGCACAAAATGCTTGGTGCTGAAACAACAGGCCAGACACAAGGCGCCAAACTGGAGAGGAAATCCTTCAAGAATCTGACAGAGAAAGTTCTGAGGGGTTGATATCACACCAAACCTGTCTCCCGAAACCCACATCAGACCGATATCATCAGCCGCGTATGATAGGTTAGTCAACACAAAACCTGCTTTCAGAAACCTGAATAAGGAATCACTGAGGACCAGGCACGGCACACACGTGTCAGGCCAATTCTGAAATATACGGCGCCAGCGTGGAGTTCTTATCTTATCAAACACAAAACTGTGCCGGAGAAGGTCCAGACTCATGTCACCAGACGTGTTCCAGAGCTGAGAGGTACGAGTTACCAGGAAATATTATGGGAAGTAAACCTCGCGTCACTGGAAGACAGAAGAGTCAGGGGAGATATGACTATTAATTTAAATAACACTAATTCTCATGAAAACAGATACGACGAGCAATGACAGATTGTTTGGACTTGGTAGTAAAGGAGCAAGGAAGAGGACATGTGGCAACTGAGTACCCAAATGTGCCACAGTCTTCATAAATAATTTGTCTAGTGTCAGCGGAGTGAGCACAGGGAAAGACCATATATATCCCAAGCTTCGCTTCAACCTGGGTTCGTATCCTGGCCGGGGAGGATTGACCGGGCGCCAATCCTTAACTATACGCCTCTGTTCACCCAGCAGTGAATGGGTACCTGGTTGTTAAACGATTTGGCGGGTTGTATTCCAGTGAAAATTAAGAATAAGGACTTGCCCAAAACGCTATGCGTGTTAGTGGATTTATAAAAATGTAAGAACTCTTGTATACATGAATAAAATAAAATAAAAATTAAAATAAAATATGAGGCTATATTGTGGAGAAAGACTAAAAACAGTTTCAAGTGACCGTTGAAATTGAAATAAGTTTATTGAGGTAAAATACACACAGAGGGATGAGGTAGCTCAAGCTATTCTCACCCCGTTCAGTACATCGTGTTAATACATACATAGACACACATCACAAACAATAAACATATTACCAAACATTCTGAGAGCTAAACATATACATTTCCTAACTGGCCGTGGTACACCAGTTAGAGAGATCAAACTCAACCCCATCAAGCATAATATAGATGACAAACATTAGATAGGACTAAACACATGAGTTAGTACTCCATCATGCAACCACACTTGAGAACGAAACGGATGAATCATCTATACAAATATTTACCTGAATTTACCTGAGGGGCCACTAATACTCGTGGCCTTGACGAGGACAGGAACCCTGTGGGTTGTCAAAGGTCCCCCCATTTGCCCTCATGATTTTTCCAGCTGTATTTACAACCCAACAGAGTTTTGACATTTACGGCTACGGCGGGTAGGCGGTTCCACGGGTTTATAACCTTATGGGTGAAAAAGCATCTCCTGTTCTCAGTCCCATGAACAACACGTGCTGAGCAGAACACGTCCCGTTTATAAAATACAACACAGGTGTGCCATCTGTGGTAGTATAACAGGACAGGCGTGCCATCTGTGGGAGTATAACAGGACAGGTGTGCCATCTGTGGTAGTATAACAGGACAGGTGTGCCATCTGTGGGAGTATAACAGGACAGGTGTGCCATCTGTGGTAGTATAACAGGACAGGTGTGCCATCTGTGGGAGTATAACAGGACAGGTGTGCCATCTGTGGGAGTATAACAGGACAGGTGTGCCATCTGTGGGAGTATAACAGGACAGGTGTGCCATCTGTGGTAGTATAACAGGACAGGTGTGCCATCTGTGGTAGTATAACAGGACAGGTGTGCCATCTGTGGGAGTATAACAGGACAGGTGTGCCATCTGTGGGAGTATAACAGGACAGGTGTGCCATCTGTGGGAGTATAACAGGACAGGTGTGCCATCTGTGGTAGTATAACAGGACAGGTGTGCCATCTGTGGGAGTATAACAGGACAGGTGTGCCATCTGTGGGAGTATAACAGGACAGGTGTGCCATCTGTGGGAGTATAACAGGACAGGTGTGCCATCTGTGGTAGTATAACAGGACAGGTGTGCCATCTGTGGTAGTATAACAGGACAGGTGTGCCATCTGTGGGAGTATAACAGGACAGGTGTGCCATCTGTGGGAGTATAACAGGACAGGTGTGCCATCTGTGGGAGTATAACAGGACAGGTGTGCCATCTGTGGTAGTATAACAGGACAGGTGTGCCATCTGTGGTAGTATAACAGGACAGGTGTGCCATCTGTGGGAGTATAACAGGACAGGTGTGCCATCTGTGGTAGTATAACAGGACAGGTGTGCCATCTGTGGGAGTATAACAGGACAGGTGTGCCATCTGTGGTAGTATAACAGGACAGGTGTGCCATCTGTGGGAGTATAACAGGACAGGTGTGCCATCTGTGGGAGTATAACAGGACAGGTGTGCCATCTGTGGGAGTATAACAGTACAGGTGTGCCATCTGTGGTAGTATAACAGGACAGGTGTGCCATCTGTGGTAGTATAACAGGACAGGTGTGCCATCTGTGGGAGTATAACAGGACAGGTGTGCCATCTGTGGGAGTATAACAGGACAGGTGTGCCATCTGTGGGAGTATAACAGGACAGGTGTGCCATCTGTGGGAGTATAACAGGACAGGTGTGCCATCTGTGGTAGTATAACACGACAGGTGTGCCATCTGTGGGAGTATAAGAGGACAGGTGTGCCATCTGTGGGAGTATAACAGGACAGGTGTGCCATCTGTGGGAGTATAACAGTACAGGTGTGCCATCTGTGGTAGTATAACAGGACAGGTGTGCCATCTGTGGTAGTATAACAGGACAGGTGTGCCATCTGTGGGAGTATAACAGGACAGGTGTGCCATCTGTGGGAGTATAACAGGACAGGTGTGCCATCTGTGGGAGTATAACAGGACAGGTGTGCCATCTGTGGGAGTATAACAGGACAGGTGTGCCATCTGTGGTAGTATAACACGACAGGTGTGCCATCTGTGGGAGTATAAGAGGACAGGTGTGCCATCTGTGGGAGTATAACAGGACAGGTGTGCCATCTGTGGTAGTATAACACGACAGGTGTGCCATCTGTGGGAGTATAAGAGGACAGGTGTGCCATCTGTGGTAGTATAACACGACAGGTGTGCCATCTGTGGGAGTATAACAGGACAGGTGTGCCATCTGTGGGAGTATAACAGGACAGGTGTGCCATCTGTGGGAGTATAACAGGACAGGTGTGCCATCTGTGGGAGTATAACAGGACAGGTGTGCCATCTGTGGTAGTATAACACGACAGGTGTGCCATCTGTGGGAGTATAACACGACAGGTGTGCCATCTGTGGGAGTATAACAGGACAGGTGTGCCATCTGTGGTAGTATAACACGACAGGTGTGCCATCTGTGGGAGTATAAGAGGACAGG